GTCACCCGGTGCGGTCCGCACCCCCCGCCCCCCCCCCCTGGCTACGCCCCTGGCAAGCGGCCCAGGTGTTGACCTCCGTTTACCAACAACCTGGTTATTCCCATTCTTCACCACTTCCGGTATGAGCTGACTTTCTCTTCCCCCCCCCCCCCCCCCCCCCCCCCCCCCCACAGTCATCAGTCACTGTTTGTAGGAATAAAAAGGAATAGAACAAGGTTATCGGCCAGAAATCAGAACAAAGAAACTACGACCAGTCAGTTTTTACTTTCTCGTATACGAAGTATAGAGGAAGTATTGTAAGCGTGCAAAAAATCGTTTTACACCTACCTGTGTCGGAAAAACATAGTTTTTAAATTTTGTCCGTATGTCTGTATGTATGTGTGTGTGTATGTCTGTGAACACGATAACTTGAGTTCCGTTACAGCTAGGTTGATGAAATTTCATATAAAAGTGTTATATCAAATTTGTAGTTCTGTATCAGCTTTATAGCGATTTCCGGTAACCGGAAGTGGAGCTTATTTTACTTTTGGTTTTTCAACAGCATTTAACTTGAGTACTGTTTCACATAGATAAACGAAATTTCACATACAAGCAAACGATCTGATTCTCTGCCTTCTGTCAAATTTTGAGTAATTTCCGTTTACAGAAAGTAGTAATTTACGCTATTTCCGAATTCTTAAAAAAAAGCACATGAATTTATAAAGTACTAATAATAGACCGCACTATTACAAACAGTTTGTTTGGTGTTCACTTGGTACACAATTCTTTTTTCTACGAGATTTTATTTTAAAAAGTTTAAGTAATTTGAAATGGATTAAAAATCATGCCTATATCCCGAGTTGCCATCCCCCGGTAGTGTTATTTAAGAATATTCGAGAAAGTTTAGGGAAGATCACTCCCGGATTATTTAAAACTGCTTTGCAAACAATCTGGTTCTGGGGAAGCGATATACAGTTTACATTCGAAAGTTATTAATTGTAAATACATAGAGTTTGTAGCGCACCGCTGCCTATAGATGTAACTGTATCATAAAACGTCATGCCAAATATATAGGATCTGCTCCATTCCACCAGACTTTCTTCCATGCATCTCTTCGGTTGGGCTCTGCCCCCCCCCCCTCCCGAAGAAAGTCTACCGCCCCCTTCCGAAGAAAGTCTATCGCACCCCCCCCCCCCCCCACGACGGACGAAATGTAATTGTTATAGGAAATATACTTTTGCCAGAGTAGACCCCCCCCCCAGAAAATAATCTGCCCCATTCCACTACATATTATTTTATTATCCTATTGTGTCTATTGCTTGGTGTTCGTGTGGTTCCATTTTCCCCCCTCTCCTATGCTGTTTCCAACCAATACCTGCTTCTTGTTGCCCTTTGACCTCCAATGGAACACGTCTGCTGCTCACGGATGTGTTTTGTCACGTCTAAATATTTACCCACAACATCGACGGCCATTTTTGTTTAGGGAAGTAGACGCGGCCAAACACATCTGTCTAGTGTCCCTCCACATCCGCTGTAACCGACCCCCAGTGTCCCCCCACCATCCCCTGTACCCGACCCCCAGTGTCCCCCCACCAGCCCCTGTACCCGACCCCCAGTGTCCCCCCACCATCCCCCGTACCTGACCCCCAGTGTCCCCCCACCAGCCCCTGTACCCGACCCCCAGTGTCCCCCCACCAGCCCCTGTACCCGACCCCCAGTGTCCCCCCACCAGCCCCTGTACCCGACCCCCAGTGTCCCCCCACCAGCCCCTGTACCCGACCCCCACTGTCCCCCCCCCTCCCCAGTACCTGACCCCCAGTGTCGTCCCCCCACCATCCCCTGTACCTGACCCCCACTGTCCCCCCCCTTCCCCACCATCCCCTGTACTTGACCCCCAGTGTCCCCTCCACCATCGCCTGTACCTGACCCCCACTGTCCCTCCACCACCCCTGACAAAAATGCCTGACCAGAGTTTATCGTGTTGTTAACCCTTTCCCAAGTTGAAGAATTCCGACGAAAACCGAAGTGAAAAAAAAAATCTTGTATTACATGGACGAATATCGAATCACAAACCTGAAGTCGATGAAAATCTACTTGACTTTTCTCGTTCTCTTTTTTGGACCTAGTGACCCGTTGGTCATTCTGCACCCCAGGGTTTGAACTTTGTTTTCAGTTGTGCACGGCAGATGTGTAGCAGTTCAGTTAGTTCTTGGTGTTTGACCGTCGTAATGGCCGCACGAACGGCACAGATGTACGTTCATGTTTTCTAAAAGCTTGACTTAAGGTAAATCGTGTGTTATTGTTCAAGATTGAGGTTAAAGGTTAATCTAGTGTTATTGTACTTTATTAGTAAACACTAACTCGCGTTGGTGGATATCCGTGAAAGTTTGAACCAGCTGTCAAGTTCAGTAGGTAAACCATTGTACTCAGTGTTGGCTTTAGATGTAACTTATACATATACGTAAAACCAGTGGCGTCGCTAGGTCGGGTGTCACCCGGGCGGCACCTAATGGTGTCACTCCCCACCCAGCTAAAAAGTATCAGTTTATATATATATATATATATATATATATATATATATATATATATATATATATATATATATATATATATATATATAGTTTTATGTAATACAGCTATATGTAAAATTGTTTTCTCTAAAATTGGCACGTTTACGTCCAGGTGTCACCCCCTTCCCCGTATCGGAATCTTTTATTTACACTAAATAGGACATTTAACTCTAATTAATCATTAATTAAACTGGCGAAAACCATTTTTCTACTATACATTTTTCAATTTTTTGTCTTGGTGTCACCCCCTAAATGGTGTCACCCGGTGCGGTCGGTGAGTCCATGGCAGCATAAACACGTACGTAAAGCTACCCGTTTTGGACCAGCGTACTCGGTAGAAAAAACTTTGAAGTAGGGTGTCTATTTCCGCGTGTGGTCCGTGGTGGTTTGCCAATCCTGCAATTTTTTTCTCTCAAATTTTGTCTTGAAATATCTCATGTGAAATGAACATTAATTTCCAAGATTCACAAATCTGAAGTGTTGTCTTTCTGGAGCTTTTTCTTTTGTCCTCCAAATAGTGCACTTAAACACTGACACTAGCGTAGCACGAGTTTTCGTATATATATATATATATATATATATATATATATATATATATATATATATATATATATATATATATATATATATATATATATATATATATATATATAGGGCCTATATATTTACACCGTATGATGTGCACCTCACGCTTGAAATGAGTGGATTCAGCGTTTTGTTTTTTTTAAATGATTATGCCAGGTTGCCTCTAGTTTTTCCACACACAAACAACTCGGTTAGTTTTTTGGCTGGTGTGTGGTACTTGGCATACGTTGGAAGGGGGGGGGGTGGAAACATCTGACATTGGGTGTTATTTTAACGTCTGCGGGTTGTATTTTGGCGATAATTTACATTGTTTTATTTTTATCCTCTTGAAAGCCCTCCATTTTAGGCCTAGTTGTAAAAACACATTGAAACATTAGGGGATTTTTATTTGTGCAAAGAACGGAAACTGCTACCAGAGACCAAATAAACGGAATCTTCAGTTTTGTAGGACAAATAAATCCTGACCGACAGCAGACGTCTTCATTGGTTATTGTTTGAAACAAGGTAATTAAAAAGTCTAGTGACAATTTTAGCGCAATTTCCTTATGTTATCTAAAAATAGCTCTGTCGTAGCGTAAATCAAGAGCAGTGTTAGTAAAACCATTGGTTAGTTATTAAAACGTTTTTTATTAATTTTTTTTCAGTATTTGACATGTTTTATTTACAATAGAGTTACATGACTAAAAACCATTGCGCGCCTAGCTACTGAACGTGATGACGCAGCCATTGAACGTGATGGCGCAGCTATTGAACGTGATGACGCGTGTGGTGTGGTTTGATAAACGCCTACTAATTCGGTCCAAATTTTAATTAATTAAAAAAACTTTTTTGTGACCGAACGAAAGGATGTTTTTGAAAACTTTCTTCGGCGATATTGTTCTAAATTATGGCAGGAATCGATTGGTAAATGTTTCAAGTCGCTAAGTGGTCTGGTTGCCGAGATATGGGCCAAAAACTGAATTTTTTCGAGGTTTTTTGGCTTTTCCGGGAAATCCATGAAAGAAACCCGGAATTTTTATGGCCTATGTTCATCCTCGTAACTTGCTTAACATAATTGCTTTTGGAACTAGTCCTCGATATCGCTTCGTTGAGGAGGAGATACGACTTAAAGCTGCGGACACACATCCACCCATCCATCCATCCATTCATACATTCATACATTCATACATCCAGAAATGACGAGTTAATAAACGCAATTCTCCAGAATGGAAATTGCGCTAAAAAAAAACAAGTAGTCAACCGGAAGGCAGGACTTCGGGGTCAAGGTGATCGCCATGATTACCATGACAACAGAGGTTATAGTGTAAGTCGCACAACACGCCAGTTATAGTTTGATGTAACGTGGGAGGACTGACGGGAAACCTTGGTTCAAACATACGCCCTTGTCACCCAGCCGAGCTGCCATTGTCTAACGAGGGGGAGAGGGGGAGGTGGTCAACATGACATAACAGGTAGAGTCGGGGTCAGCGTGACATACAGGTACAAACGGGATGCAACAGTAACATTCCAGGTCAGCATGACATCATGTAATGTAATATTACACAATGATGTAATAACATTTGGTTATTGATGCCTGATATGTGCCAACTCATCCCTCACCCACACGTGAGTCTGCAAATGGTACTCACGCGAGAGTCTGCGATCTAGGCAAGCTTTTGATTTGATGGGGTAAAAAAGTCTCTCTCTAAACACACACACACACATATGTATATGTACATATGTACACACATATATATATATATATATATATATATATATATATATATATATATATATATATATATATATATATATATATATATATACGTAAGGCACTATAACAAGGGTTTACAATTAGGTACCAAAAATAGTTTTCTCTTCACACAGGTTGACAGATCACGTGATGCTGTTGAGGTAGGCCATGATGGACCTCCGCCTCTTGGGCAGGGGTCAAGGACGGAGCCCAGATGTGGTCACCTTGACCCACTACAAGCTGTTCAATTGCTGACGCTTGAATAATGAGATTAGTGAGTTCTGGCACTTTTGTTTGTTTGTCGGTTTGGTGTCAATGTCACTATTAGAAGTAAATATTCTTTTTATATAAATTCCATTTTGTTCAGGGGGGGTGCTTTTTTCATACAATTGAAATTACAAATTACAAACTCCCCCCCCCCTCCCACAGATACAATTGATCATTATAAACTCCCCCACTCCCCAGCTCTCCAACAGAAAGGTCTTCAGACTCTGTCTTCTCCTGGCTTGTGCCATGGTCTGCATGGCGGTGTACCTGGTCTCACAGTCCCGCGTGGAGGCGCCCGATGTGTTGCAGATCTACAACAACCACCTGCCGCAGATCTACAACAACCACCTGCCGCAGGTCTACAACAGCCACCTGCCGCAGGTCTACAACAACCACCTGCCGCAGGTCTACAACAGCCACCTGCCGCAGGTCTACAACAGCCACCTGCCGCAGGTCTACAACAGCCACCTGCCGCAGGTCTACAACAGCCACCTGCCGCAGGTCTACAACAGCAACAGACAGGCTACAGTGACAGGTGCCCAGAGCGCGGCAATCTTCCCACAAGCTCCCCCAGCCAATCAACACGTCGCAGAGTTCAATGCCACAGACCTAGGTGCTGTAAGCCGCTTCACACATCTGATGAGTCAACACAAAACGACTCCGTATAACCACCCAAGCCCAAGAACTACAAAAACCCACCCTAAGGGGACCAAGAAGCCCATCTTAAAGAAAACGCCAAAACCCCTGCTCTACCCTCCCCCTGTGAGATCCCTACCACCACAACTTCCGGTCAGATATCTCGTCTATCTCTGCGACTCAGAAAGCCTGTGTGGGGGGTGGGGGGACAGACAACGAGGGATCGTCTCTGTCTACATCCTGTCCCGCCTCATCAACCGCCAGTTTCGCATCGTCATGCAGACGCCCTGCAACCTGTCCTTTTTCTACCGGCCCAACCAGGTCCCTTGGGAGCCGGCCGTGGGGGAGCTCGACGCTACCGACTCGACCACCTTCAACACCATCGGGGTGGATGCGGCTGTGATCGACATTGTCAACACCGATCTGATCACCCGGCTCAACCAAAAGGTCATCTACATCAAGGCCAACACGGACTTTTACGACAGGCTCAAACTCAACCCGCTCTTTGCCGGTGAGCTGATCAAATGGACCGGCATTGCTGTTCGAAAACACCGCTTCCGGTGGGCGTGGCAGGATTTAATGCAACCCACGCCTCTACTCCTACGCCACCTCGAACACATCCTGGGCTCTAAATTCCTTTTTAAAAAAGGTCTAAAAGCCAACACCAGTTCTTTGACAAACTCTACTTATGACGTAGGCGATTCACCTTTGGTATGCGGCCACGCTAGAATGGGAAAAAATCCCTCCATTCCAATGGACGAGTATAAAGACGGCTTCAGGATGACGGATATTCCCGTGCTGTTTAACTTCATGCTGTCCAAAGACAAACAGAGCAACGCTTATTTTTTTGTTGCCGCGGACTACGAGAATATCCGTGTCCAATCGCGTCAGTTCTTCGGCCAGCGCCTCATAGACTATGGCGGGAAAATCCTGCACATTGATCGTCAGCGGAAGGACCACACGGCGTGCGCAGGTTTTGAGTCGGCCATTTTGGACCAGTTGATTTTAAGCCTGTGTGACGTGCTAGTGATATGCATGAGTGGTTTTAGTAAACACGCCTCCTACATCAGCAACAGCACACAGCCCATCTACATGGTGCATCATGGGGAAATTCTGCAATACAAAGGATAAACGGTTGCTTTTTTAAATTTATGTATGTGAATCATTAACCTGCTCAATGTTGATTGAATGTTTTTCTGTGGCGAATTATGTTTTATGAAGTGTAAAGCAGTGAATTAAAATTGAGTGTATCTATGCCTCATGTTTTTGAGAGGTGTTTAAAGAATGCAGAATGTATTATTAAGATGTCCCTAAGCCCACCCAGCTCTAATGGGTACCTGACTTACGTTGGTGAAAGTAAAGGCGGCTGGGCATAGTGCTGACCACACTATCCTTTCACATGCCGACGTCAAGAAACATCCTAACTCTACTTCATCTGCCCAATGAATCGCTAGGTGTACATAGGAATCTTCACTACAATTAATGTCTATGCCTGTCTCTACCAGACTGGGGTTAGTTGTGTTTTTATACAGCCACCCTGGCAAGCCGCGTGGGGAGAAAAATGTATAAAAATAAACAAGCCAGCCATTGTGCGGTCTAATTATAGATTTTCAGATGATGGAGATCTATTTCAACTTGTTTTAAAATTTAAAACATGAAACAAATATGCATCCCTTATTTGTATTTTTTAAAATGTCAACTTTAAAAAAAAATTAAACGTAATTTAATACATTTTAGTTGACTGTTGTTAGTATGTACTAATAACTAACAATGACTTTCGGTACTTAGTGGGATTTGGCATATTGCCCCTGTCAGTATTTATTCCAAAATACAAGGGTTAAGATAAGGGGTGGACTGGCTCAGTCCGTATCCCCCCCCCCCCCCCACACACACTGAATGTTATTTTTTCAAGTTCCACTCCTGTTTCCAGCCCTGTTCTACCTCGCTGAGTGATTTAGAAACCCCCGGCGTCAGATAAAAAACAAGGTTATCATCAGATTTACCCTAGCTCTACCTTCGTAACTTTACTGCCTGGTAAAAAAAATCTGGCTTTTTATTTTTGTTAAGGTAAAAAAACAACAGAACTCTTCTTATTCTCCCAATCGTAATTTTTACACACACCCCCCCCTCCCCACCCACATATCAATTCTTTGCTCCCATCCACTCATGTACACGAAGAGTATTTATTTTCCAGTTGTATCCTCTACAGACCTCCCTCACACCCCCTCCCCCGGCCCGACCTACATCTCGGTGCCAGAAGAAAAGAATTTCTGGAAGAATCGTTCAACTGAGACGGCCCGCCACTTCACGCTAGCTAACTCACCCCTTCCAGGCTGTGAACCACACTAATTCAACAACAGGTGCAAGCACTTACAAACATAGATCAGTTGTGATTTGATAATGGAGCGGGTTTGGGGGGGGGGGGAGGGAGGGCAGAGCAGGTTAATATTAGACGAAACCCACTGGACAAGTATGTACGGGGTGGGGGTGAGTGGGGGGGGGGGGGTGAGAGATAATATAATCGTCGAGCAATTTCGTGTGCGAGTGTGTATCCGCAAGTTGAGCAAGTATTTGTGTGCCATCAAGTAAAATTAGACTCCGTGGGATTTCCCAGCTGGGGGGGGGGGGGGGCTGTAAGGGAAAAATTAAAGAGATATTTACATTGACCACAGCGTTCTGGGGGGGGGGGGGGGGGCTGTAAGGGAAAAATTAAAGAGATATTTACAATTTTACATTGACCACAGCGTTCTGAACACCCAACAGCAGGAATATGTGTTGAATTCACTCGGCCACGAGGTCATACAGTGACATATAGCAGATTGTCAAATTTTAGTAGTTTGTAGTACGTGAGACTCTTGGGGGACTAGCACCACGGCCTCACCCCACTGATCTAGCCTAGTCCCCCGAGCCCACGGACATGCCTTAGCTGAATAAAGTGCCCCAGAGTTTTAAAATGTATGCCATATTTAATTCTATGTACATACTATAGCGCATTCTATAGGTTCCGAGCTTTTATTTGAAGGCCTCAACACCAGGTAGCCGAGCTTTTAGCCTGCCCTCACTCCCACACCTGTTCTATTCTCGCATTAAAAACTGAATCTCACTCGCGTGCTTTACCTAGCTGCCGGTTATTTAATAAACGTCATCAAAAATATGTATCTGGCTATACAATTTCAAGGTGATCGTCTAAAACGTAGCGTGTTTTGTTCATTTAAGTATGGCTGACAATTAACGCCAACTTTAAACACAATTTCACCTTCTAATTATGTGGTAATTTTTCACACCATAAAGACGGGGGTCACACCCCCACACTCCTGGGTCACATCCGTGCTTCCCCCCCCCCCCCCAGCGGTGAACCACCAGCCGGACGAGATCCTTGTGTTACCCAACTCTCGCGTCATAAAACGAGACATCCCACCACCCCCCCCCCCCCCCCCCCCCTCATCCTCCCGCCATTATCAGCAGAAGTGTTTCCAGATGTTCTTTATTCGCCTCACTTCACATTGCTGCCCTCATCAAAAATATCTATGTGGGTCAGGCTCGGCTGTTGGACGTCACTAGCGCCAGACTCCACCGTAGGTACCCCGCGCCAGTTCCTGCTAGAGAAATTGTTTCCATCGTAACAAAACTGGGTAGGTACCCGCGCCAGTTCCTGCTAGAGAAATTGATCGTAACAAAACTGGGTAGGTACCCGCGCCAGTTCCTGCTAGAGAAATTGATCGTAACAAAACTGGGTAGGTACCCGCGCCAGTTCCTGCTAGAGAAATTGATCGTAACAAAACTGGGTAGGTACCCGCGCCAGTTCCTGCTAGAGAAATTGATCGTAACAAAACTGGGTAGGTACCCCGCGCCAGTTCCTGCTAGAGAAATTGATCGTAACAAAACTGGGTAGGTACCCGCGCCAGTTCCTGCTAGAGAAATTGATCGTAACAAAACTGGGTAGGTACCCGCGCCAGTTCCTGTTAGAGAAATTGATCGTAACAAAACTGGGTAGGTACCCGCGCCAGTTCCTGCTAGAGAAATTGATCGTAACAAAACTGGGTAGGTACCCGCGCCAGTTCCTGCTAGAGAAATTGATCGTAACAAAACTGGGTAGGTACCCGCGCCAGTTCCTGCTAGAGAAATTGATCGTAACAAAACTGGGTAGGTACCCGCGCCAGTTCCTGCTAGAGAAATTGATCGTAACAAAACTGGGTAGGTACCCCGCGCCAGTTCCTGCTAGAGAAATTGTTTCCATCGTAACAAAACTGGGTAGGTACCCGCGCCAGTTCCTGCTAGAGAAATTGATCGTAACAAAACTGGGTAGGTACCCGCGCCAGTTCCTGCTAGAGAAATTGATCGTAACAAAACTGGGTAGGTACCCGCGCCAGTTCCTGCTAGAGAAATTGATCGTAACAAAACTGGGTAGGTACCCGCGCCAGTTCCTGCTAGAGAAATTGATCGTAACAAAACTGGGTAGGTACCCGCGCCAGTTCCTGCTAGAGAAATTGATCGTAACAAAACTGGGTAGGTACCCGCGCCAGTTCCTGCTAGAGAAATTGATCGTAACAAAACTGGGTAGGTACCCCGCGCCAGTTCCTGCTAGAGAAATTGTTTCCATCGTAACAAAACTGGGTAGGTACCCGCGCCAGTTCCTGCTAGAGAAATTGTTTCCATCGTAACAAAACTGGGTAGGTACCCCGCGCCAGTTCCTGCTAGAGAAATTGATCGTAACAAAACTGGGTAGGTACCCGCGCCAGTTCCTGCTAGAGAAATTGATCGTAACAAAACTGGGTAGGTACCCGCGCCAGTTCCTGCTAGAGAAATTGATCGTAACAAAACTGGGTAGGTACCCCGCGCCAGTTCCTGCTAGAGAAATTGTTTCCATCGTAACAAAACTGGGTAGGTACCCCGCGCCAGTTCCTGCTAGAGAAATTGATCGTAACAAAACTGGGTAGGTACCCCGCGCCAGTTCCTGCTAGAGAAATTGTTTCCATCGTAACAAAACTGGGTAGGTACCCCGCGCCAGTTCCTGCTAGAGAAATTGATCGTAACAAAACTGGGTAGGTACCCCGCGCCAGTTCCTGCTAGAGAAATTGTTTCAATCGTAACAAAACTGGGTAGGTACCCGCGCCAGTTCCTGCTAGAGAAATTGTTTTCATTGTAACAAAACTGGGTAGGTACCCGCGCCAGTTCCTGCTAGAGAAATTGATCGTAACAAAACTGGGTAGGTACCCGCGCCAGTTCCTGCTAGAGAAATTGATCGTAACAAAACTGGGTAGGTACCCCGCGCCAGTTCCTGCTAGAGAAATTGTTTCCATCGTAACAAAACTGGGTAGGTACCCCGCGCCAGTTCCTGCTAGAGAAATTGATCGTAACAAAACTGGGTAGGTACCCGCGCCAGTTCCTGCTAGAGAAATTTTTTCCATCGTAACAAAACTGGGTAGGTACCCCGCGCCAGTTCCTGCTAGAGAAATTGATCGTAACAAAACTGGGTAGGTACCCCGCGCCAGTTCCTGCTAGAGAAATTGATCGTAACAAAACTGGGTAGGTACCCCGCGCCAGTTCCTGCTAGAGAAATTGTTTCAATCGTAACAAAACTGGGTAGGTACCCCGCGCCAGTTCCTGCTACTGCTAGAGAAATTGTTTCATCGTAACAAAACTGGGTAGGTACCCCGCGCCAGTTCCTGCTAGAGAAATTGTTTCAATCGTAACAAAACTGGGTAGGTACCCCGCGCCAGTTCCTGCTACTGCTAGAGAAATTGTTTCATCGTAACAAAACTGGGTAGGTACCCCGCGCCAGTTCCTGCTAGAGAAATTGTTTCAATCGTAACAAAACTGGGTAGGTACCCCGCGCCAGTTCCTGCTACTGCTAGAGAAATTGTTTCCATCGTAACAAAACTGGGTAGGTACCCCGCGCCAGTTCCTGCTAGAGAAATTGTTTCAATCGTAACAAAACTGGGTAGGTACCCCGCGCCAGTTCCTGCTAGAGAAATTGTTTCAATCGTAACAAAACTGGGTAGGTACCCCGCGCCAGTTCCTGCTACTGCTAGAGAAATTGTTTCCATCGTAACAAAACTGGGTAGGTACCCCGCGCCAGTTCCTGCTAGAGAAATTGTTTCCATAGTAACAAAACTGGGTAGGTACCCCGCGCCAGTTCCTGCTAGAGAAATTGTTTCCATCGTAACAAAACTGGGTAGGTACTAGGTACCCCGCGCCAGTTCCTGCTAGAGAAATTGATCGTAACAAAACTGGGTAGGTACCCGCGCCAGTTCCTGCTAGAGAAATTGTTTCCATCGTAACAAAACTGGGTAGGTACCCGCGCCAGTTCCTGCTAGAGAAATTGTTTCCATCGTAACAAAACTGGGTAGGTACCCCGCGCCAGTTCCTGCTAGAGAAATTGATCGTAACAAAACTGGGTAGGTACCCCGCGCCAGTTCCTGCTAGAGAAATTGATCGTAACAAAACTGGGTAGGTACCCGCGCCAGTTCCTGCTAGAGAAATTGATCGTAACAAAACTGGGTAGGTACCCCGCGCCAGTTCCTGCTAGAGAAATTGTTTCCATCGTAACAAAACTGGGTAGGTACCCCGCGCCAGTTCCTGCTAGAGAAATTGATCGTAACAAAACTGGGTAGGTACCCCGCGCCAGTTCCTGCTAGAGAAATTGTTTCCATCGTAACAAAACTGGGTAGGTACCCCGCGCCAGTTCCTGCTAGAGAAATTGATTGTAACAAAACTGGGTAGGTACCCCGCGCCAGTTCCTGCTAGAGAAATTGTTTCCATCGTAACAAAACTGGGTAGGTACCCGCGCCAGTTCCTGCTAGAGAAATTGTTTCCATCGTAACAAAACTAAGTACTCACACTGACATAGACAAGTTGCAGGAACACTGACCAGTGGCGTCGCTAGGTCGGATGTCAGCCGGTGCAGCACCTAATGTTGTCACCCCCCTTCCCCGAAAAAAATCTATATGCCTCTCTATATATATATTTGCATATATATGTATATATATATATATATATATATATATATATATATATATATATATATATATATATATATATATACACACACACATATAATATATATTCTGTCTTCTTGGCCATCAGACTACCATTTTTTTCTCCTTCCTTTCCCCCAAAACTAATAAGAACACAGCCTGCCCAAGTTTTGACGCATCTACACTTATCTTGCTACACTACCATATCATCTTGCTACCCTACCCTACCACTACCTTATCATCTTGCTACACTACCATATCATCTTGCTACACTACCACTACCATATCATCTTGCTACACTACCACATCATCTTGCTACACTACCACTACCATATCATCTTGCTACACTACCACATCATCTTGCTACACTACCATATCATCTTGCTACACTACCACATCATCTTGCTACACTACCACATCATCTTGCTACACTACCATATCATCTTGCTACACTACCACATCATCTTGCTACACTACCCTACCATCTTGCTACACTACCACATCATCTTGCTACACTACCACATCATCTTGCTACACTACCATATCATCTTGCTACACTGCCATATCATCTTGCTACACTACCATATCATCTTGCTACACTACCCTACCATATCATCTTGCTACACTACCACATCATCTTGCTACACTACCACATCATCTTGCTACACTACCATATCATCTTGCTACACTACCATATCATCTTGCTACACTACCATATCATCTTGCTACCCTACCCTATCACTACCTTATCATCTTGCTACACTACCATATCATCTTGCTACACTACCATATCATCTTGCTACACTACCCTACCATATCATCTTGCTACACTACCTTATCATCTTGCTACCCTACCCTATCACTACCTTATCATCTTGCTACACTACCATATCATCTTGCTACACTACCATATCATCTTGCTACACTACCCTACCATATCATCTTGCTACACTACCACATCATCTTGCTACACTACCACATCATCTTGCTACACTACCACATCATCTTGCTACACTACCTTATCATCTTGCTACACTACCACATCATCTTGCTACACTACCATATCATCTTGCTACCCTACCCTATCACTACCTTATCATCTTGCTACACTACCTTATCATCTTGCTACACTACCATATCATCTTGCTACACTACCATATCATCTTGCTACACTACCATATCATCTTGCTACACTACCACATCATCTTGCTACACTACCATATCACTACCTTATCATCTTGCTACACTACCTTATCATCTTGCTACACTACCATATCATCTTGCTACACTACCCTACCATATCATCTTGCTACACTACCACATCATCTTGCTACACTACCACATCATCTTGCTACACTACCATATCATCTTGCTACACTACCATATAATCTTGCTGTACAATACAGCTATGTGTATACTAATAACATATCCAGAATTTAACTTAGATGTTTTTGCTCTTGTGCTATGAAAAAATCTAGCAAAGAAAAACTATTTTTTTAATAGGCTTGACATTTTGCATGTTCCATTTTTAAAGCACCAGGCAAATCCCCTAAGATAATGATGAAACAACTGATATGAATAATATCATATTTGAAGATAGCTCAGAGCTACTGAGAACATGCCAGAACTATAAAACACGTTTACTTCTGACGAGGACTCAGGAATTTTAAAAGGTGGAAAATTAATAATCGCCAGATTTTTTTTAGCTGAGTGCTCCTGCTGATAGTGTTGAGGTGGCAGGAGTCAGGTTCTGACAGGAGTCAGGGTCTGACAGGAGTCAGGGTCTGGCAGGAGTCAGGGTCTGGCAGGAGTCAGGGTCTGGCAGGAGTCAGGGTCTGGCAGGAGTCAGGGTCTGACAGGAGTCAGGGTCTGTCAGGAGTCAGGGTCTGGCAGGAGTCAGGGTCTGGCAGGAGTCAGGGTCTGACAGGAGTCAGGGTCTGTCAGGAATCAGGGTCTGGCAGGAGTCAGGGTCTGGCAGGAGTCAGGATCTGACAGGAGTCAGGGTCTGGCAGGAATCAGGTTCTGACAGGAGTCAGGGTCTGACAGGAATCAGGTTCTGGCAGGAGTCAGGGTCTGACAGGAGTCAGGGTCTGACAGGAGTCAGGGTCTGGCAGGAGTCAGGGTCTGGCAGGAGTCAGGGTCTGATGATCTCAGGTTGGTCTAGAGGATGACTCATGTATGACATATGTAAAAACAATTTTTTAATATGTGGGTATGATGTTTTATTTATTTGCTTTAATAATAATAAAATAATGAGATAATAAATAATTTAAGGTGAATAAATTTTCTGGTTCTGGCTCCACATACATTTTTACATTAATATTAAAAAACTGGAATCATAATTGTAGTGAAATAAATAAGTAGATGTGAATATTTTTTCATTACAGCCAAATAAAACAAAAGTTAGATAATTAACCAGCATTAACTTCACATGAAATAAATATAATTTTTTTTTAATTAGTTAAGGAAATAACACATAAAAAGACTTAATAATATAAATGCTTGAATTGACAAATTTGATCAGAATAACAATTGAGCTAACCATGGCACTAATGAAAACATACATCTCCCAAATAAGATAATGTCTAAGATTTATTAAAAGACAAACACTTTCTAATTTTTTTTTTAAAAAACAAGTGCTTACATGTATCTTAATTATGTTTTTTTTTTTAAGTATTATTACAAAAATTACACGTGAAGAGATATACAAGTTTTCAGTATCTGTAGACCAAATTACAAGGAAATTTTTAACTCAAATTTTATTTCTTATGTAAGTTTATAAAAGGGATGCTACTCTTGAAGAGAATTGCAACTATAGTATAGCTGACGTGCACAATAAGGTGTGGAAGACACTTTGCTAGATTAAATTACCAATAATTTATGTAAGAAGAATATACATTAAGATATGGGTAGTGATAAGCATGGTGAACAAATATGTGAACAGCACCCAATACGTCTAATATAAATAGACATCTGTATACAAGAAACAACTCACAACCATATTATAACTGTCTTAATTAAACTGTAGTCATATAAAATACTTTACTGGAATGTTGGTGGATATCTAAAACATGAGATATTTGCATTTTGTCAACTGAATCCTTTACTGGAATGTTGAATGGGAAAATCCATTGTTCTAAAAATATAAATTCCACAGGAATGTTGCTATGGAAAAAGCTTGTAAGTATGTAAGGTACTTAGTAAGTCAGTGAGAAAGTAATCCACAATGTGTACAATATGTGATAAAAAGTAGAAGAAAACAACAGATATGTAGAGTCTCGTAATTCACAATAAATACATTTTTAAGGTCTTTATGTACAGTACAAGTAGTAAACATACAGTACTTCAAAACTTTAGTATCAAATTTGGAAATTTAAAATTGTTATCACAACCATATTAGGGTAAGATATTCTGAATATCTAAACTTCAAATAAAAAATGAAACTTTTAAAAAAATCTAGATAAAAAAAGCAGAGACAGAGAGAATGTGAACTACATTTCTGAGGTCACAAGGATCTTGGTACACAAGAATACTTGACTGTGTCTGTTACAAGCTCTAATAGTCTGCTTGGGGTGTCATGATGGTGTCCACAAAACTGGCAATGTTCACCTGGCCAGAGGCTTGAACCCCAGCTTCACGAAACAAGGAATCCACTGGTGAAGGGAGTATCATCACAAGTAGTTAGACAATAAAACAACAGAATAAGAAAAGTAAGAACACAATAAAGTTGCTACACTTTGATAAGAAAAACTAATGATACGCTGACAACAATAGCCCTAATTTACTGCAGCATCCAATATTTAGGACAAGAGTGTTTTCTTTTTATTTTCTATAACCTTCAGGGTCTTACTTATCAACAGAAATACATTTACATCTTTTCCTTAGTTTTTAATTGAGTGAGATATAACCTTGTAAAGTTTATATTACAGTACCAAACAATTAAATTTTTCAGGGAAAGTAAAGTAAAAATAATAATTTAAAAAATATACCCTAACAGATTTTGATGTTGCTATACCAAACATTTTAGTCTCTTACCTTCCTTACTGCTAAGCTTTTCCCCTATGTTTGTTAGTATGTGTCTTAGTTCCGATGCATTCAGGTAGCCTCTTCTCCCTCTATCTTGGGCATTGAGAGCTGCTCTCAGTTCTTTTTGCTTGTTCTCCACCAATGAGTGGTCATGCATTATATTCAGGAAAGATGCAAAGTCAATTCGTCCATCGGCTTTAGAAGAAAACAACTTCTAATATTTGAATTCCAATATCAATAAAAAAATATGAATAATTTCTATAAAACCTAAGAGTGAGGTAATATAATAACTGAACTTATGACAGACTGACACGGTAAAGCTGAAATGTAAACTTACCAGCTGATGCTTTAGCAAAGTACTTAGAAATTTCTTCTTTAGTGGCACAGTAGTTTAAGGAGCGTATAATTATAGACAAGTCTCCCTCATTTGTAATGTATCCTTTCCTTGCGTGGAAAAAGAAACATTCTTTAAAGGCTGTAGAATAAAATAACCAAATTATTAAATCATAATGTTCAAAGTGAACAGGCTGGTATATTGTTCAAATTGTTGAAAAAAAGTAAATAGGATAAGTGAGATAATGTTGAATAAAAGTAAGTAGGATGGGATATGGTTGAAAAAAATCTAGGACATTAAATTGTGGAAAATCAAGTAACAGTGATACATTATGTGATTATGACCATCATCATTTCTAGTGCACTGCATGAAACAGAAATAAATGGCAGCTTTAAATTAAAATTACCATCGATTTGGTTTTCACTGAAGTAGTGTGCCTGTTAAATGGAAAAAAAATGTGTAGTTACTAGTAACAGCCTAAGTATTCATATTTCATATCTTACATCAGCAAGCTATTGGCTCATTAGTATCAACAATATATTATTTAAAAGGTAATCTATCATTTTAGGTACGTAAAATCGGCCAAGACTATTAATGTGAAAAACAGGTGCCTCCTTAAATTTTAATAATTTTTTCACATTTTTAGGATATTTATTTTTTGAAATTTACAAAAATGTTTCAGAGTTTCATTTATGTAGGCCTAACTGTTTTTAAACAATTGAATTAAAACTTTTCAGTAATAAATGAAGACCAGTGAATGAGTGATGTTTTCATCAGATGCAATCATGCTCATTTACTATATCAGCCATCTTGTTTAAGTTGTTTATTCAGTAAAATTAAATTATAGATCTAGGCCTACTTGAAACTTCTATTTGATTCTATTAATTCTAGATCTATTGACATTCTAATCTTGACAATGACTGAATGAGAAAGCGATGGATTACCAGAAAGACTCCCAACTCCCACATTATTTAAATTATTATAACCATTGGTAATGGTTCTTGCCAAGGCTCATAAAGCTCGAGTCTTATATTAGAGTAGAGTTGGTTAGATAATATTTTTAATAATAAAATTAATCAGCCTAAACGTCAAATAAAATAAAAAACAAAATGAATTATAATAATAATAATAAACATCACCTACCATTTTGCCACTAAAAGTCAATGCAATTGCCAATCTGAACCGATAACTACAAAAAAAAATGTTTAAAATTAATTTGATATTAAAATTTATTGCTAACGATATTTTTAATAGGACTATATTAATTAATTTAAAATGATTATTCAATTAAAATCGGATTTAGTTTGAAGATATTATTCAAACGTAAACGAAACAACAATAACGAACATTTTATTTTTGTATGGGGACCAAGATTTAGCCTTGGTATCATCTCTCATCCTTTTCCCGGTAGTTGTGTTCGATGTGCATTTAGGGTTCGTCCCAGAGTTTCTTCCAGGCATCTCTTCGGGGGGGCTTTGACCCCCCCCCCCCCCCGAAAAATTTTTACCGCCCCCCCCCCCCCCCCGAACAAAATGAAATTTATATAATTTATATAGAAAATATATACTTTTAACAGTGTCCGCCCCCCGAAGAAAGTCTACCGCCCCATCGAAAATTTCAAGTGCCCCCCCCCCCCCCCGGAGAAAAAAGTCTGGAAGAAACACTGGTTCGTCCCTAAATGACGTCACGTTCCTTGTACGTAAGGGAAGTCGGGAATTTAATGACGATTAGTGACGAAAAGAATAGTTAAAAATTGTGATGACAGAAAATATTTTAGAAAAAAAACACAGTTCTAAAAATTAAAAAAAACTCCGTTTTTTTTATTGAGATGGGTGTAGAAGAATGACTTTATTTTACGGGTGGGGGTCTGTCTTTTGAGGATTTGTGACGATGGGGGAGGGGGGATAACAAAAAATCATGACGAAATTTATTGATGACCCTTAGAAGTGTAACAAAATCGAATTAGTTAAAGTAGTGAAAGTATTAGTATATTTAGCAAATTTTCGCCCTGTGCTTTCGACCAGTACCTCACTCACACCCTTGTTACTGTTTACTGCAATTTAATGTAAAAATTAGTGTGTATTGTAACAGCTTTCTATGCAGAAATAACTAACAATAAAATAATTAATAATAATTTAATAATAGTTGATAAAAAATTCAAGGACACCAAAAATATATAATTTAGCCTAAAGTGATTTCATACAATGACATAGCCTACATCTTTTTGATAAGGAATTAATTTTCCAAACTATAATATTTGCATCTCTTTCTGCTCTGCATTTTGTGTTACATACTTTCCTACAATATATTGGTTCTTTTTTTTTTTTTTACGATGAGTTATTTCAATCACCATTCATCATTGAATCAATTCGTTTTAGGGAGCATATTTACTTTTAATGGTTTTACAAAATTAGATTAACCAAATAAAGGGATTTAACTCTTACATATAGATCAAGAAGCAAGGAATAACTGAAATTGAAAGTCACTCGCGGGTAATGCGAAAGAATGCATATAATTATAAATATTAAATAATATTAAGTTATTAACTATATTAATATTGTGATATTAATTTACCATCATAGATCTATCATTTTTAACCTAAATTCTAGAATTATGTAGATCTATCATACCATTAAAATAAATGGTAAAATCTTGGCCTATCGGGGCTATCGTGACACTTGAGTCTTGACTGACTGTGACTTGTGTGTGACTATCGTCGTTTTCCGTAGTTTTAGTAAATTTTAGTTTAGTAAAAAAATACTTTAGTTTAGGTCAGTTTTTAGGAGTTAACTTTTTTAGTTAGGAAATTTAGGTGAGTTAACGGCCGAGGCTACTCACTTAGGCTAGTATTGAGGATCTAGATACTACTAGTAATGTAATGTGCAAAAAAGTTGCCTCATACTCAATTACTCATACTCACATACTCATTGTTAAGTTATTAGTTAAGACTTTAATTAATGGTAATCTATCGTTTTAGGTAAGCCTACGTAAAATCCCCCGCGACTAGTAATGTAAAACTTCTTCTAATTCTAAATTTCTAAGTTACTTTTTTTAACTATTTAGAATTTAAGCCTGTTACTAATAGTACTGTAATAACTGTAATAGTATTAGTACTATTGGACACTATTATTAAAATCTAGTTAGTAAATGTTTAGAGGCAACAATAATTAGCAAAAACATTTTAAAATAATTATTAGCAATACAAAATGATTAGCAAAACAATATTTAACATACTACTTAAATCAGTCTATCTAAATTTTAAAACGCTCTATATTAAAAAAACGAACCGACCCGCGGCGTATTATACGCCGCTATTTAGTTGTTTTATTTTATACTTTTCAGTAATTCATAATTTGTGAATTCGACAGTACCACTGCTGTCACTGAAAATATTTGCTTTAAAACACTATCAGTAAGTCGTTAAGGACGATACACCCCCCCCCCCCCCCCCCGTGAAAGCAGCCTCCGCTTAGCTACCTCCACTAAGTTTAAAATCGTTTCAAACTAAATTATCTGCCTCTAATAGCCGTCACTAAACCCGGCTCTATCATTGTAAACATTTAGCGTCAACCACAGCTCACCAGGCTTCCTAGAGAGGAAGAGAGGGGACTGCAAGGCGCGCTTACAGCTTGTTTTCTAACGTCTCCAAGAAGAGAATTATATATATACGAGCCGACCTGCGGCATATCATACGCCGCTATTTAGTTGTTTTTTCTACTTTTCAGTAATTCATAACTTGTGAATTCGACAGTACAAATGCTGCCACTGAAAATATTTGCTTTAAAACACTACCCCTCCCCCCCCCGTGAAAGCAGTTAGTTACCTCCTCTAAGATTAAAATCGTTTCAAACTAAATTATCTGCCCCTAATAGCCGTCACCAAACCCGGCTCTACGATTTGTAAACATTTTTAGCGTGAACCACAGCTCACCTGACAATGTGAGGGGGAGGGGGAGAGTGGGGGGGGTGGGTGGGGGTGGTGGCAATAGAGAGGAAGAGAGGGGACTGCAAGGCGCGCTTTGCAGCTTGTTTTCTAACGTCTCCCAGAAGAGAATTATATATATAGATAGATGATTTTGCCAAATAAAATATGGTTTGCAGTACTTCTGGTGGGTTCTGGAACAGTGTGACAGACTGTACGCCATTATTCTACTGGATCTTACTGCTAAACCATTCTGGAATAATAGCTGATGCTTTACTCTGAGATTACTGATAGGCCTACAATGGACTAGCAGTCATTTTTCTATAATCTTGCATAAATGTAATTAAGATTGATCAGACCATCAGTTTTTAAAGCCTGCAATTCTTTTCATGGTCGCTGAAAATAGAGAAAAACAAGATTTTTTCTCTCAGACTGGTTGACCAATTAAAATATATCACGAGCTTGGTTTAAGGGGCGGTAAAAAAAACCCACAAAATTTCTTGTTTTTCTTCATGACGGGTTTCTTGCACTTGTGGATACTTTTTCCAATTTTTGTATTAAGAAAATAATAACTTAAAAGAAAAAAATGTATGTGTTTAAATTACCATTTTTAAGACCCTATTAATTAAAAAATAATCTATTTTTCCCAATCTTACAAGCTTTCTATGAAAAGTTTTATAACCATCATCATATTGTATTTGGTATCATTGGAAAGCTGGATTTCTCATGTATTTGATCATCTTAATCTTAATTTCCATAATCTTGGAAACACCCAAAGCTTACAATCGGCTTTGCAGTTAACACAGAAATGTTATTTTCGTGACCTACTTTTCGTTACTTTTGGCAGTTTTTCTCAGATCGCAGGATTTTAACACTTAAAAGCCTACTTCTTTTTTATTTATTAAACAATGCCCACCATATTCTCAGTAGTTGTTCTTCATGCAAAAATAAAACTTTTGTCACAAGGGAATTGTGATGGCTTTCATAGAAAACAAGTATTTGGTAATTAATATGGATATTTTGAAACTTTTGAATACTAAAAAAGGTACGATTTTGTAGACCTTGTAAAATTCTTACTATTAGCTATTTCAAAAAGTTGTTGTGACAAGTTTCAATATATACTTAAATATAAGCAGTTAAAATTTGATTTCTATAGGTGCATAAATAAAAAAGCCGTAGCATTTTAAAAGAACTGAAAAATTCAAATTGGCTGAGGTTTTTTTTGGTTTCCATGACAACCAAAATTGTTTTAAACCCCTTTTTTCTTGCTGTTTAATACTTACTTTCATGTGCCATACATAATAGAAGTATTCAAAAGGCGGTAGATCTTAAATTGTAAAAAATAGAGGGAAAAAAAACGTGCATATCCCCTTAAGTACCATGGATTTCTGTCTTCATTTTGCTTTGTCATTATGATTGTTATGTAATAAATAGTAGTCTGATGTATAGCTACGGAACAGATAAAAAGTTAGCTTCAGAATTATTACTGTAACTTCTTTTGTTTTAGTTAAAGAGCTTGTAGTCACAACAATTGGTTAGTTAAAAAAACTGTTTTGCAGCTTGAATCAAGTTGATAAATTTGGTGATACTTTAGTTTAAACCTTAGAGCCAGCATTAGTTGAATAAATTTGGTGATACTTTAGTTTAAACCTTAGAGCCAGCATTATTTGAATAAATTTGGTGATACTTTAGTTTAAACCTTAGAGCCAGCATTATTTGAATAAATTTGGTGATACTTTAGTTTAAACCTTAGAGCCAGCATTATTTGAATAAATTTGGTGATACTTTAGTTTAAACCTTAGAGCCAGCATTATTTGAATAAATTTGGTGATACTTTAGTTTAAACCTTAGAGCCAGCATTATTTGAATAAATTTGGTGATACTTTAGTTTAAACCTTAGAGCCAGCATTATTTGAATAAATTTGGTGATACTTTAGTTTAAACCTTAGAGCCAGCATTATTTGAAAAATCGTGCTTTTGTTAGAGAAATTTCTATTTGGATTGGGCAGCCCTGTAAAATGTTATTTACTGACTATTGGCTCAAGAAAACTGATACTATTTTAAAAAAGAAACATACTTTCTGTTGCATAACTATTAAGTAGATTGAAGTGCAATTTTGCACTGTGTTATACTAGGCTACAGGACATTAACCCCCCCCCCCCCCCCCTCTCGAGTTAGAATCCTATAGAATTCTATACCTATATACTACTTTAATCCTAACCTTAAGAAAAAAACCAAAACCTAAACATCCACCTTAGTCTAAAACTTAACACAAAACCAATGCTAGACATTGTTTTAAGCCTAACCCTAGCCCTAACCCCAAACCTACTCCTAACCTTAACCCTTACCCTAACTCTGTCCGGGGGGATAATGTCCTACTGGGCGGGGGTAATTGACGGGGGGGGGGGGGGGGAATTCCCTGTTCCCATTATACTATTAATAGCTGCTATAAATAGCTATATTAAGTCAGACAAATGTCCATTTATGCCTGAAAATGTCTAGATATTTCACTTTCAAACAGCTTTATGAAAACTGGATGTCAGTAGCATTACTATATTTTACATTATACACTGAACATTTTTTTTTTGTATTTTAAAACAATTGTATGCTGTTTCAGATTTTTAAAAATTTAGACATGATTGTTCCCAAAGAAATAAAGGTTAAAAATTTTATGCAAGGAACTAAAGCTGTAAAATATCGCACATATATATACTTTGGACTTATTGCATATTCAGTGGTTGTTGGTGTACCTATATAGTAAGTATGCTTATATTTAGGTGATACTCAAAATATGTCTTAATTCAAATAATGAGATTGAAACACAATGTCGTAAAGTTTTTGTCAAGTTGTTTGCATCATTTTGTTTTGTGTCTATACTTTTTAAAATTATTTGTTGTATCGTTTTGTTTCAGAATTTTATTTTTATTCATGATTTATGGTAATTGTTTCCCCAGCTATTTGATGAAGCCAAGTATGGAACGTCGCCGGGAGTCAATAAAACGGAAACAGGAAGAAGAAGAATCAAACCTGCAAAAAATGTTTGAACTTAGGGCCCAGTTAATGGAGTCTACAAAAAACTCAGATTGATCTCAGCACAAATTTCCCTACAAACTGTCAGCAATAATAAACTTTCTTAAATTAACTTACACATGTTGTGGTTTGGGTGTGGTTTGGTGTGGCTGTACAATTTTTAAATGAGAAGTGTGCATAGAAAATATATAATAAGTTATACCAAAGTAGAGTAGAAATATTTTTACAAAACAGATGAATAGCAAGCAAAACTTGCATATAAAGTAAGAATATAAATTCAGTTACATTCAATCAGAGCTAATATGGGTACAATATTGAATTGAATTAAACAATTGGCTTCAAATATAAATAAGGAATCAGTGAGAGAGTAATCATTAAGGGATGGAGGACAATGATAAAGATGGTGATGATGTTGTGTTTGTAAGGGTGGAATGTGGCGCTTCACCTCCTTTAAAAAATGACAAACTTTCTCTTCGAATCTTTGATGCTGAAGCAAAGACCAGAGCCAGAAAACTTGTAGAAAAAGCAAGTGCCTTATCACTAATGAATAAAAGCCTAAATGACTCGCAAGATTTCAAGGAGGTTCCCAAGTTAAAAAGTTCACGCCTGAAATTAAAATCTGCTGCATCTTCACGTGATAAGACAAGTGCCATCAAAGTGAAACCATTAGATAGCTATGTTACTAACACATCATCTGTGCATAGACTGCCGACCAGGACAGAGTTCAAAGGCAGTAACATGGAAACAGAAAATGAACACCCTGACCATCATAAAAACAAAGCTCCCACAGAATCTCCATCAAAACTCAATGAAATCAGATTTGATGCTAATGAAAACACTATTGATGCTGAAGGAGCACTGATGAAAACTTGCATTCTTTGTGGACAAAGAGTAGAAAAATCCACTTTTGCAGAACATCGTCAAAGATGTATGAAGGGACATTTTTCAAAAACTACAGGTTTGTTCTGCTCCTAGATTTGCACTGATAGACACAACAAAATACAGCAGCTGTTTAAGTTTAATTTAAAATAGTATTTCAAAATGTAAACAAAATATACAGACAGAACTAGGATGTTTGTTGAATTAAAAAACAATCTGAATAAGATAATTTTAGGTGCTAATCAATTATTCTTTGAATATTTTTAGAAACTAGTATCACAGAATTTATCTTAAATAAATATTTGTGGAAATTTTGGTTAGACAACTATTCTTTAAATATAAGTATTTTAGAAACTGGGAGGGTCACACAATTATTATTTGAATGTTTTTAGAAACTGGTGTCACATCTACCATCTCTGAGCGTATCAAATGTCCCATCTGCCAGAAAGACTTATCACATATGAACTATCAGCGACAAACACAGCACACAAACCATTGTCTTAATCAGGTAGGGCATTGTCTAGCAATATAAGGCAACATAATCATTGGACTGATAAGTCACTGTTGCGCTTTGAGAAACTGAAGGTTTAGCTTTTAAGTAAATGATGCATGGTTGTAAGAAGTTTAGTCTATGTAAGGCGATACAACACCAGTAGTAATGTAAACTAGGTCTACAAGGTAACACAGAGACCATCATTACTTTAAAGACTTTTTTATTAAACTCTTGGGTGTGGGCATTGTGAGATCATCCAAATTATACATTCAGTTAAATTTTGTAATGAATAAAATACAACATTAAATTAATGTCTCTGTGAGTCTTGCTTAAGTTGGGGTAGTCCAGTTGTTGCTTCACCAAGTTGGTCACTCACAAGTTGGTCATCACCAAGTTGGTCACTCACAAGTTGGTCATCGCCAAGTTGGTCACTCACAAGTTGGTCACTGCCAAGTTGTTCATCGCCAAGTTGGTCACTCACAAGTTGGTCACTGACAAGTTGTTCACTCACAAGTTGGTCACTGACAAGTTGGTCATGGCCAAGTTAACCGTGATCAGTTCAAACTTGTCAGCTCACCAGAGTGTGTAAACTAAATGTTGTATTATTACTGTTGGTTCACTTTTTTGTTTACAGGAGCTAAAAAAGTTTTCATGCTAGCCATATTATACAAACATAATTTTTTTTTACTGCTAAATAGATTACTATTGTGGTCATATTTAGACAAAAATTGTACTGTGCAGGTGGAGTCCGATGAAGAAATTAACAAGAAATTTGAACAGCAGTTGTTACTTGCTAGAAATGCAGTTCTTCCTTGTCCGCTGTGTAGAAAGAAATTTAAAACAAAGACAGTAAGAATATTTTAATTCCATGGCTTATATCTCCATAAGTTTTGTAGCTGTCCGATAGGAGGTAATACATGCACCCATCAATACATTCTATAGGGCCGTCAAGCACATCTGAAAAAATGTGCTACCCTCACCAACATGACAGTGGAGCAAGTGAAAACTATTCTTAGACAACAAGAAGAGGAGCATAACTCCAAGCTTGATGCTGGCATCTTGCCTGAAGAGCTTCAGTAAGGTTTTTATTACTTCCCTTGCTACTGGCAAGTTTCTGAACATTTTTATTACTTCTTTACTTTTTTTCTTCTGCTCAAGACTTTCTTATATTACTTATATCATGGAGGCTTATATTACTTAGTAGAATTTAGTCCTGGTTAGACCTTACTTTTTTAAATAGTGTTCAGACACTCCTCTGATTTATCGGTAGTTTTGTACACTCTGCTATCAGAGTGGGAGAAAAACTGTTACAACAATAGAATATGTGGTGTTTAGTTTATTCTTGTATTAAAAAAATAATAAACATTCTATTGTTCTTTTAGCTCCAAACTGAAAAAGAAGAGTGACAACCAGTCTAAGCCTAGGAAACCAAAAAAGTTAGTATCCTAGTATCAGGAATTTAAAATTTAACACCCCATTTTGAGTATTATCAGCTATCTACATATATTAGAGAAAAAAAACCAAACAATGAGTTGAATCTTTTGGTCAGCTATCTACATATATTTAAAAAAACAAACAAACAATGAGTTGACTCTTTTAATCAGCTATTTAAATATATTTTAAAAAAACAAAAACAATGATTTGACGCTTTTGGTCAGCTATCTACATATATTTAAAAAAACAAACAAACAATGAGTTGACGCTTTTGGTCAGCTATCTACATATATTTAAAAAAACAAAAACAATGAGTTGACTCTTTTGGTCAGCTATCTACATATATTTAAAAAAACAAAAACAATGAGTTGACTCTTTTGGTCAGCTATCTACATATATTAAAAAAAAAAACAATGAGTTGACTCTTTTGGTCATCTAAATATATTTTAAAAAAAACAATGAGTTGACTCTTTTGGTCAGCTATCTAAATATATTTTTAAAAAAACAACAAAACAATGAGTTGACTCTTTTGGTCAGCTATCTAAATATATAAAAAAAAACAATGAGTTGACTTTTGGTCTCCCAGCCAAGAGGATGAAGAAACCCAGCTGGCGCTGGCCCTGTCCAAGTCTCTAGCAGAAGACGAGGCCCAACTAGAGCTGGATGTTTTAGGATCTTTAGCTATGGTAGCACCAACAGCTGCAGTTCAGCATCAAGTTCAAGGTCACAACACCAAAGGAAAAGGAAAGAAGAATAAAAAGTAAGCCTTTTCACTTTTTTACTGATATGATTTTTTTAAAGTTAAATTTTTTTTAATAAAATGGTTTTTTTTATTGGCTTAAGAATGATATAACTAAAAAAATAAAGAATACATCCAATGTATATTGTTCATATAAACAAGTGCTACAATTTTTAAAAATAAGCTTATGATTATAAAAACACTATACTGATGATTTTTAAGTTATATTGAAAATAAATATTTTATTGAAAACAAATATATTGAAAATAAATATTTTGTTGAAAATAAATATACTGAAACTAATAATATAAACTATACTGACAATAATGATGATCCTGACACCATTTTGTCCCTCTCAGGGAGGAAACAGGAAGCCTGTTGCTGAGTTTGTCAAAAGAAGAAGCTATGGAAAGAATTTCTCACAGAGTTTATAAATACATCTTTTCAACTGTAAGTTACAATTTTTTAAAATCTGATTTGAAATTAATGATTGTAACTTTTTCTGGCATCCCTGTAACCATTTGGTTCTAAATTTCTCAAAAAATGAAAAATAAATTAAGTTTGCCCAGATATAAAAAAAAAGAAAGAAAAACCACAGTAATAATGTTGCAAGCTTCTGTCTTCTTATCAGTGACTAGAGGTGCTATGTACACTTAGTCCTTGGACTATATGAGCTATGTACACATAGTCCTTGGACTAGAGGAGCTATGTACACATAGTCCTTGGACTAGAGGAGTTATGTACACTTAGTCCTTGGACTAGAGGAGCTATGTACACTTAGTCCTTGGACTAGAAGAGCTGTGTACACATAGTCCCTAACCTTGAATTGTGTCTTAGTGATTGAATAGGATTAGCATGGCATAAGAAGCTTGCTGAGCTGGGCTTTGTATTTTACCAGAGAAATCTCTACACACAGGTCCAATCAACATTAACAGTTAATACACCACCATTCAGCCGAGTGGGCAAGCCAGTCGATGGGTCAGTGGCTGAAAATATTTTCTGGCATAAAGCAGCTTTAGATGCAGGTGCCCCAGCCCAGAGTGGCAGAGAGGAGTTCTACGTGAGGGAGCTGATGCCTCAGGTCAGCGTCAGCACGGTGGAGGCTGGCAGCAAGCTCAAGAGGCTGTCAGTCATCCCGGGCAGGAGGAGGTCTGGTGACCAGAGCCCCGAGGAAGGTCAGAGAGTAAGTTACACCTGCTTTCATATACAGCTATTAGCATTGCTGCAACTTTTTAAATCAAAGCAGTTACCAAGGTTTCCATTATTGATTGAAATTAATTATTAGTTAATTATAAGTTATATCTATCTGTCAATTATCATTCTAATCATGGAAATATATATATATATATATATATATATATATATATATATATATATAATATAAGCGGGCTGAGCGTGTGTCAGTCCTTCTGTCATCGCTATAGATTTTGAAACCATAAAAGTAAACATCGCACCATACTGTGCTTTTCAGTGCACTGCAGTGTTTTATTATAAGAAATAGAGTAGGGTTTGTTTATATAACAGCATAGAGCTATTTTATAATTGCCACCGTTTTTACTTTTTTGCATAACGTAAAGAAAATATTAAATACACGCACATTGCTAAAGCATATTAAAAGGATCAATATCAAATATCATTTTCGTTTATATTTCTAGAAAAAATTGATACATTTTCATAACATAATAACAGTAGGGTAGAAAAATCTAATTAAACTGTTTAGTAATTTTGCCAAAGGAGGTAATTTAAAAATAAATTGAACTCGCGCTAAAAATGTGAATGCAAAATCTGCAAGACGGAATAATTGTTGGAATAATATAATTAGCAAAATGTGAATGCAAATTATGCAGACGTGTAAGAGTACATTATTGTTGGAATATTATAATTAGCATTGATTGATAAAAGGCTATATTTTATTTATTTTATTCACTGAATGTACTGTTTACTAATTAAAATTTTTAATCAACTATTCAAGAATTATTATATTAAGTCATCACGTTCATTAGGTGTGCAATGGTTTTAGTCATGAAACTTTATTGTAAATTTTAAAAAGTACTGAAAAAAATGCATGAATTTATAAAGTGCAATATGGTAGGTAAAACACGGATATTCTAAATACTGCGTTTCATTTATTTTATACACTATACATATTGTTTACTAATTATTATTTAATCTTTTGGTTTCCGGACAAGCTAGGGGTTTTATAGCAGAGGCGTAGCAAGTGGGGGGGGAGGGGGTGCAAATCGAAAGTTTGAGGGGGCGGGGTGGAAATTGAAAGTTTGAGTTTGTCCCCGGGCGCCGGAAAGGGTCGCTACGCCTCATTCACGGAGTCAATCGCGTCCGCCGGCGTTCGGAAAGGGCACGATTTGGCGCTACGGGCTAGACTGTGAGCAATATGCCTTGATGATTGCATTTAAATTGTTTTTATGGTACGAGTATTGTGGTTTTTTTTTCGTTTGTGATTTATTTTTTTTTGCGTTCATTTGTGTTGTGTTTAGTTTTGTTCTGTTCCCAAGTTGGTACATTTAAAAAAAGATTTACCGTGGCGGAGCACGGGATGCAGCTAGTATATATATATATATATATATATATATATATATATATATATATATATATATATATATATATATATATATATATATATATATATATATATATATATATACACACACACACACACATACATATATACATACATATAAATAAAATTATGTTTCACTCTTGCAATTGATAGATTGAGGCCACTGGTGAGACTCAGGCCTCCCAGACTGTGGAGATCCTGGCTGAACTTGCCATGGAAAGTGACCTTCACTACCAGGGCTCTCAAGCTGATGCCAGTCAAGTTGCAGACGCCGGTCACTTGAATGACCTGGATGCACCAGATGTGGATATGGGTCAGTTAAATGACCAGGATGCACCAGATGTGGATATGGGTCAGTTAAATGACCAGGATGCATCACATGTGGATATGGGTCAGTTAAATGACCTGGATGCACCACATGTGAATATGGGTCAGTTAAATGACCTGGATGCACCACATGTGAATATGGGTCAGTTAAATGACCTGGATGCACAAAATGTGGGTCAGTTAAATGACCTGGATGCACAAGATGTTAAAGCTGAATTACCTGACCAGACTACCCAAGCAGGCACAGGTCAGTTGAGTACCCCAGCCCACCACACTGGTGTTGATGTCCTGTTGCCTACAGCCCCAGGTGTAGCCCCAGCCCACCACACTGGTGTTGGTGTCCTGTTGCCTACAGCCCCAGGTGTAACCCAGCCTGAGGCCAACACAAGTTCTGGTCTCTACACCCACAGCCCTAACAAGGTGAGCACATCACAGCACTAGCTACACATTTACTGGGTTCTACTAGCACTATTTCAGTCATATTACATTTATTGGGTTCTACTAGCACTATTTTATTTACATCACATATATTTCACAACTGTCTGAATAAATGGAGTATGTTTAAAGTGTACTCACTGACCTCAGCAGAAAGATCCAGCAGTTGCCAGAAGTCTGGAAGATTGTCTGGCTGCCATGGTCAGCTGTCCTCTCTACAGTGACCTGTCCATCACTGGTCCTGACGGGGGCAAGATCCCAGCACACAAGGTCATTGTACACGCCAGGTGTCCACAGCTGCTCTCTGTAAGTCTCTGGGTCAGTAGGGTGGGTCAGTAGGGTGGGTCCCTAGGGTGGGTCACCGGTTTGGGTCACCAGTCTGTGTCAGTAGGTTGGGTCACCAATCTGGGTCAGTAGGGTGGGTCACCAATCTGGGTCAGTATGTTGGGTCACCAATCTGGGTCAGTAGGTTGGGTCACCAGATGGGTCAGTAGGGTGGGTCACCAGTCTAGGTCAGTAGGTTGGGTCACCAGATGGGTCAGTAGGGTGGGTCACCAGTCTGGGTCAGTAGGTTGGGTCACCAGTCTGGTTTAGTAGGTTGGTCATCACCAATCTGGGTCAGTAGGGTGGGTCACCAGTCTGTGTCAGTAGGTTGGGTCACTAGTCTGGGTCAGTAGGTTGGGTCACCAGTTTGGGTCAGTAGGTTGGGTCATCAATCTGTTTCAGTAGGGTGGGTCACTGGTCTGGGCCAGTAGGTTGGGTCATCAATCTGGGTCAGTAGGTTGGGTCATCAATCTGGGTCAGTAGGTTGGTCGTCACCAATCTGGGTCAGTATGATGGGTCAGCTGCTGAAAGGATTCTATCATAGCTATCATTGAGGCTGAAACTAGTGTTGTGCTTACAACATGTAAGGGAATGTGGTAGAGAGATAGAGCACATGATTACTGATCCAAAACTCTCAAGTTCTGTACACCAACCAGCTGGGGTGGGTACCTGATTTCAGTCTGCTGAACCTTCTTATTTTGTATGCCAAGTGAGTTAATCACATGAACACTACTTGATCTGCCCATGGACTGGTCTGAAAGGGTATCTTTACTTTACTCCAGCTGGCAGTTGGTGACATCATCGACCTGTCCAGCTACAACCACCACAGCATCATCTGTGTGCTGACCTACATCTACAGCTCCCAGATAGTCCTGCCACATCCCTATCTTTCAGATGTGGTCAAGCTGGCCAACAAGTAAGTCACTGTAGACTTTTAAAGGCTTGAACATATAGCGTAATGCCAGACCGTGGCAGGCATAATGGTGAACATATAGCATAATGCCAGACAGTGGCATAATGGTGAACATATAGTGTAATGCCAGACCATGGCATAATGGTGAACATATAGGGTAATGCCAGACAGTGGCAGGCATAATGGTGAACATATAGCGTAATGCCAGACCATGGCAGGCATAATGGTGAACATATAGTGTAATGCCAGACCATGGCATAATGGTGAACATATAGCGTAATGCCAGACCATGGCAGGCATAATGGTGAACATATAGTGTAATGCCAGACCATGGCATAATGGTGAACATATAGTGTAATGCCAGACAGTGGCAGGCATAATGGTGAACATATAGCGTAAGGCCAGACTGTGGCATAATGGTGAACATATAGCGTAATGCCAGACCATGGCAGGCATAATGGTGAACATATAGCGTAATGCCAGACCATGGCAGGCATAATGGTGAACATATAGCGTAATGCCAGACCATGGCAGGCATAATGGTGAACATATAGCATAATGCCAGACCATGGCAGGCATAATGGTGAACATATAGCGTGATGCCAGACCATGGCATAATGGTGAACATATAGCGTAATGCCAGACTGTGGCATAATGGTGAACATATAGCGTAATGCCAGACCATGGCATAATGGTGAACATATAGCGTAATACCAGACTGTGGCATAATGGTGAACATATAGCGTAATGCCAGACCATGGCATAATGGTGAACATATAGCGTAATGCCAGACTGTGGCATAATGGTGAACATATAGCGTAATGCCAGACCATGGCATAATGGTGAACATATAGCGTAATGCCAGACCATGGCATAATGGTGAACATATAGCGTAATGCTAGACAGTGGCATAATGGTGAATATATAGCGTAATGCCAGACCATGGCAGGCATAATGGTGAACATAGAGCATGGTACTGGCACATAAGGTAAAACATTATAGGAAACAGAATAAAAGTAATTGTTTAGGCAAGTTTAACATACTTTGTCTTACTTTACTTCCATGTAATATTTGCTACTCAAAATGAATCGGCAAATCTAAAAAAAAATTCCTAAACTCAATCTATGTTTAATCTAAAAAAAATGCCTCATCTCAATCAAGGTTTAATCTAAAAAAAAAAATTCTTATCTCAATCTAGGTTTAATATGAAGGAGCTGGCGGTAGCAGCTATGGGTTCTATAATAGCAACAGATTTACCCCAGCCAAATAGAGGTCAAAGGTCAGAGGTGAAGCAAGAGATGACCCTTGGTGAACTCTTGCCTCCAACCAGCCACCAAACCTCAACAGTTGATGCTAGCACCAGTGCTAAAGACAACCAGAATGGTGCTAGCACCAGTGCTAAAGACTATCAGAAAGGTGCTAGCACCAGTGCTAAAGACTATCAGAAAGGTGCTAGCACCAGTGCTAAAGACTATCAGAAAGGTGCTAGCACCAGTGCTAAAGACTATCAGAAAGGTGCTAGCACCAGTGCTAAAGACTATCAGAAAGGTGCTAGCACCAGTGCTAAAGACTATCAGAAAGATGCTAGCACCAGTGCTAAAGACTATCAGAACGATGCTAGCATCAGTGCTAAAGACAACACGAAAGGTGCTAGCGCCAGTGCTAAAGACAACACGAAAGGTGCTAGCGCCAGTGCTATAAACAACCAGATAGGTGCTAGCACCTCTAGTAAAGACAGTCCAACAGCTCTAGAGCTGACCAAGAAAAAGCTATCCAACACTGTGAATCATGGGACAGACCCAGCAGCTGATGTAGAAGACAGCACAGCTGCCCATGTGGAAGACAGCACAGCTGCCCTTATGGAAGACAGCACAGATGGCCATATGGAAGACAGCACAGCTGCCCATATGGAAGACAGCACAGCTGCCCTTATGGAAGACAGCACAGCTGCCCATGTGGAAGACAACACAACTACCCTTATGAAAGACAGCACAGCTGCCCTTATGGAAGACATCATTGCTGCCCATATAGAAGACGACACAGCTGCCCATATGAAAGACAGCACAGCTGCCCTTATGAAAGACAGCACAGCTGCCCTTATAGAAGACAGCACAGCTGCCCTTATGGAAGACAGCACAGCTGCCCATATGGAAGACAGCACAGCTGCCCTTATGGAAGACAGCACAGCTGCCCATATGGAAGACACCACAGCTGCCCATATGGAAGCTGTCCAGGTAGAAGAAGTCATCCCAGAAGCTTCATTACCCAGGTTCTATGTAGTAGCACATGAAGCAAGACCTAACCTCAGTGCCACTTGTATGTCAAGCACTGACCAGTCCACCTTGTTGGCTGTGGTCAAAGAAGAGAATGCTGACTTACCTTCAGTGAACAACTCAGCTATCTTGTTTGAGTTTGAACCATGCAAGAAGGAAGAACTCAATGAAGAGGAGCTTTTGGAATATCCCACAGCAGTTGGGGAAGCTGCAGCTCAGTTAACTACTCCTGAATGTCTTGCTACTTCAGTAGGCCAAGGTCAGACTAGTACTTTAGATGCTCCTGAATGTCTTGCTACTTCAGGGCTTGCTACAGCCACTGGAGTTCTTCCAACAGGTTGTTCAGCTGGTGTGCAAACAGCTGATGGAAGTTCAGCAGATGCATCACAATCTTCAAACATTGAAGGCCAAGCCACCGTGTCTTCTGTAGTTCCTAGTTGCTTTAGGTCTATGGCAAGTCTTGAAGGATTTCCACATTTGGAAGAGCTTGGTGGTTTTGGGAATGTTGAAACACACAAAGGTTCCATAACTCTGTCTACATGTCCTGAAATTCCACAGTGCCAGCTGATACCAGACCATCCTCTACTCCTAGAAACTTCTGGATCTTCTCCAGCCAACACAATTCCACCAACTCCTTCACGTCCTGATCCAGCCCAAGTCCAAACAAGTTCTGTCAATTGTTTAGCATTGAGCAGTGCTGTAAACACAGGACCAGCAACTGCCTCACTTGGTCCTCCACCAGCCCAGCCAGAGTTGAGCAACAAAGAAGCAATTCAGGCAGCAGCTAAAGGCAGTGAAGGTGTTATGGTTGCTCCTGCCGTGCTGAAACGGAAAAGGAAGAAAAAAGTAACAAAGAAAGATTTTAAAAGCATCGTGGACAAAGTAGTGTGCCAGCTGCCATACATGAGCGTGTCAGGAGAGTCCCAGCACCTGTCCCAGCTGCTCTCTGATGAAGACTTTGAAAAGATCGCCATCAAAGTGGAGCAGGACTTCTACACAGGCCCCAACGACAGTGTCTTTATTCCCTTCATTCTGGATACAGACGAGGCCAGTTCAGATGTGGAGATCACGTTTTCTAATATAAAAGAACCTCGATATAAAAAGAGAAGAACTATAACTAAAGAAAAACCTCAGAAGCATGATCAATCTTCATCTAATAAAACCCCAAAACCTGTGAAAAAGAAGACTGCGACACACCAGGCACAGTTGCCACCCTCCTTATTGACAACCAAACCACCTCATCCTGGTGTAGACACCAGACAAATGACAGGTACGACTGAAAAACTGACCCACCCACCAAACACACACTCTGATTTAGCAAGCACCTCCATCCCTAGACACCTTGTCAGCCTGCTCAAGGAGTCCATCAGAAAAAGAGATGTGCTAATCAACCTCCCAGCTCAGCAACATTCCCCTACTCCTTCTCCCATTTTACCCCAGACCCAGAGAGGTTCTAGACCGGTGCCACATGTGTCCAGTATGTCATCCCTCCTAGCCACACGATCCTCCACACCACTGAGTGCCCAGCCTTGTGCTCACCCAACATCTACCAGTCTCACCCAGCACTCACCTGCACTCACAGCCACCACAAAAAATCTTTCAGAAGATTATGTGAGTGGAGAGGAATTGTTTAGTGATGAAGAAGACAATGGAGGATCTACTAAACAACTTGCCATGCCGCCACAAAAATTCCAGAACTGCATGAGCCCGTCCAACTCTAACTGGATCCTCATGACTCAGCCCATCTCAAGCTCTCCCCGCAAGCTCATGCGGCTGAACCAAGTCCTGAAATCACCAGAGCCACAGCACACAACTCAGGCACCATATCAAAGTCCTGCACTAACTGAGCAAAGCAAAACTGAGAAGAAAACTGTCTCCCTTCATCCAAGAGTTCCTTCCACAAAAGGACAAGTGGATTCGGCATGCAGCTCTTCTCTTAAAGACAGCAGCACAAGTTCTGTGAGCCATACAGTGCCAGCGGCATCGGCTAGCCATACAGGGGCCCACAACTCATCTCTTGATGCCAGCCACTCAACCTGTAACAGCCCTGCCAATGTAGTGGCTAGCCATACAGGGGCACACAACTCAGCCTGTAACAGCCCTGCCAGTGTAGTGGATGTGATAGCTGACCTCCTGGTCCAGCACCTCAAGCCAAAGGCCAGGCATAAAGTTTCTTCAGACATTCAGACAATGAAAGCAAACACTTCAGGACATTTAGGGGCACAGAGAACTTGTACTTCCAGAGTAAATGCCAGCATTAGCCCAATGAATGACACACAGAGCAGTGACTCCTTCCATCTCTCAGTGCATGACAGTGACAAAACAACATGCAGACCTGCAAGTGACAGACCAACATGCACACCTGCAAGTGCTGGCAACAAGCTGTCCCCTCACACACCTCCAACTAACAAGAAGACCAAGAAAGTTGACAAAGATGGTCGTAAGAAAAAAGATCCCTTGAGAATTAAACTAGCTTTTCTTTCCAGGACTAGCCAACTTAACAAAACGTCTTCGCTAGACAAAACACCACCCCTCGACAAAACACCAGCCCTAGACAAAACACCACCCCTAGACACATTCAATTCTGCCAAGAGAACTAGCAAAATGTCACCTCTTGCATCAGATCTGTCTGTCAAAATGATCAAGACAACATCACCCCTTGTGTCTAATCTTTCTGTCAAGGGCACCAAGAAGACACCAGCGACACAAAGCCAGATCACAGCTGAAAAAAATCCCAGCAACCGTATCGGAAGGCAAGCTGATGAGGGGGTAAATGTATACAGGAAAACTGAATTCCCAAATCAAAAGGTTGTTCCTGAATGTACTCAGCCAAGCTCTATAACATTGCCCAGAAAGGAGGTTGAGCCCGCTACATTCAATCTCAATAAAAAACATATGTCAGCAAATACTGGCCAGAGCCCAAAATCCTATACCAAGGTGGCCAGTGGCCAGAGCTTAACCTCCTCTACCAAGGTGGCCAGTGGCCAGAGCTTAACCTCTTCTACCAAGGTGGCCAGTGGCCAGAGCTTAACCTCCTCTTCCAAGGTGGCCAGTGACTTACAGTCCCTACCACTGAGTCCCAGTCAAGTGAATGACTCCTCTGTTAAAACAACCAAGGCTTCACACACCACTTCAAACACCAACTTGGAGACATCAGAACATTTGCAGGATTTTAGAAGTCCAAAAAAAACTATCAGGGGCCTCGCTAGTAAGAATTCCCCAATCATTTTATCTTCAACATGGGTAGATAAGTCCCATGTGGACGTAGGGGAATCTTGGATTAGTTCCCCTGTCAACAGGAGTTCAAGCTCCCCCCACCACACCCAGCCCACAGTGGCCACACATCTCCGTGGTGCAGCGCTGGACTCTCCTGATCTAATTCTTCTGGATTCTCCAGACCTTGTCATTCTAGAAACAAGCAAAGTCCTGCACCAGTCTTCCAACTCAAGTAGCTCCAGGACCAGCTCATGTAAAAAAATCTTGTTCTCTACCAGCAATAGTCTGAACAGAAACTCTAGCAAGTGTAAGGGAATAAGATCAGCAAGCTTTGATGAGACTCTGCCCAGCCCTAAGAAGCCGGAGGACACTAGTGGCAAAGCTCTGGCAGCTAAGTCTAACGTCACACTGGGCCTGGCTCGTTGTACCTCAGAGACAGATGAATGTAAGAAAACAGAAACATTTACCAAGGTACCAGCTAAGGCTGTCATCATTGCTGAATCCCCGCTACCACTGCGGCAACGACTGGGACTGACCAATCCCTTTGTAAATAACAACCCTGGTCAGTGCCAACAGGTGAAACAGGCTGAAGGACTGAAACAGGTGAAACAGGCTGAAGGACTGAAACAGGTGAAACAGCAGCCTGAAGGACTGAAACAGGCTGAAGGACTGAAACAGCAGGCTGAAGGACTGAAACAGGTGAAACAGCAGACTGAAGGACTGAAACAGGTGAAACAGACTGAAGGACTGAAACAGCAGACTGAAGGACTGAAACAGGTGAAACAGACTGAAGGACTGAAACAGGTGAAACAGCAGACTAAAGCACTGAAACAGGTGCAAGCTCCTGCAACTTCAGTCAGTGACCAGCCCACAGAAGAGGTCAATGACGAGCTGGACACGACATTTGATGACATCTGCTTGCAGGAGATTGAAGCACTGGAGCAGCAGTACCAGCAAACAGTGCAGCCCTCTGCAGTGAGTTCCCCACAACTTCTTTAATTTACCTTACAAGTTGCATGGATGATATTACAAACAACTTCCTCTTTCCTTTAGATCCCCTGTGCCAAAACCCCAGCTCAACACAAAAGACTGAAGAAGGTTAGCAAGACGAAAACATCTAAAGCACCGTCACCCTTCACTCCCATGGCTCCATACGACGAGATGGCAACACCTGAATTAAAGGTCCCATTTATTTTCACTCCACTCTTTTTTCTCTATTTCATCACCCATATGTATAAATGTAGTCCTCACTCCATTCACAAGTTTAATCAAGTTTTGATTGGCTCAATCCAAACTCTGATCCAAAAGACATAATATAAATCTTTTCTATCCTGGGTTCTAGAAAGCTGTGTCTAAAATTGGAGTCCGGCCAGTGTGCAAGAAGCGCATGAGAGACTTACTGAAACAGGTGTATCACGCCACACACCAGTGTAAGTTGTTCCTCCACAGATTGAGCAGTTTAAAATTTGTTTAGAAAATATAGATCTTGTTTTAATTTCAGCTTTATCATGCATTGAAGATGATCACAGTTCATATTAAATTATGTTGGGCTGTTAGTAGCATACTATTGTATTGCTGTGGGGCCATATACTTCAGCAACTTTTTAAAATTTTGAAGTCTAGATTTTTCTGCAGTCATTACCAATAGGCAAACTAAACTGTAATTACCTGCTCCTTACTTGTAAGCATTAAAAGAAAAGAGACATCATATTTTGGTGGAAATCCAATATTTTTATTTTTTGAAGAATTATATTATTCTACTTTTTCCTTAACTTTAACAAAATCAGCGGTATCATTTAATGTGTTTATTTTCAACTAATTATCTCTAGGTAAACAAAATACAGTCTGTTGTCTGATTGATAAGTTTAAATACATTAGTAAACAAGGGGAACGGGGGCTTCTGTGATATTAATGTAAAGCAAGATTAATAAAATAGAATGACTTTTTTGGTTACACCCAATTATCAAGGATAAAAAAAAAAATTTTTTAACTTAATACAGTTTTATAACATTTCCTTGATGAAGTTTCCAGCTAAAAATTCCTGGAGATCTGAATTGTTTAGGGAAATTTGTAAGCATTTGTGATCTTGTTTTAATCTGTTCACAGAAGGTTTTGTCTGAATGATTGATCTACCTCTTACTTGTTTCACTGTTTTACCAGATGAAACAGACAGTGAATACGAGGGTACCCCTGTAAAATGTATGCGCACTAATGTTGGACCATCAAGGCTCCAGTTGGACGTACCACAGAAAAGCAAGCCTAAAACAACAGTGCTAAAAAACCAACAGAAAGCCAAAACTGGGAGTGTCAATTGTTTGCCTGCAACACACTCCGTGGCTGATAGTGGCTTACCAAGGGCTGCCGTTCACAACAGCAGCTCTTCAGAGAGGGAGGAGGGAAGTTGTCAGGATGAAGAAGATAGGGGCTCACAAGACTCAAGCTACAGGTTGTTACATTAGTTTTTTGGGGACATGATGTAGTCCTGTTTCATGGCTGCCTTTCTTTCCACCCCACACTTTTAGGAATTTATGGTATAAAATGCAGTAGACAGAAATTATTTTGATTTTTTAATATCCAGCGACAGTCCAGATCTACCAGAAGAAAGTATACTACAAGGTTGGCCAGATGAAGAGATAGGCTCTACTCAACTTGTAAGTTCCTCCCCTTCATAACAGTATGGAGATAAGTAACTTGAGCACTTCTTGTAAAATTGTCAGTTTTTAGTTTTAATGAAATATCCTGGATCTGACAAAATTCTCAACATGTTCATAGGAGAGTAACCAAAAACAAGCTGGAAATAATATGATACAATTTTTGTTTTCTAGACACAAACTTCAAGTGAAGTGACTCAGGAGAGACTAGTCCAGTTTGTTATGGAGAATAAAGATGTGTATGAAAAGGTTCTTATGTATGAGGTATGTTATGCAACTTGCCACCTGAATTACAGGCTATGTGTGAATAGTGAAAATGAACTACAGTGTGTTCTTTACTCTTTTTTGTCAGCCACTGGAGCTTGATGTGTTAAAGAAAAGAATTGCAGAAGCAGGTATCCGAACTAGCATGGAAAAAGTCATGGATTTCCTAGATGAACGGGTAAAATAACCTTGGTGATATATACAAGAAATAGTTAAAATTTCTTTAACTTGTATTTGTTATGAATCAAATATAAATGCTTTAAATTAATAAAAGATTGCTAACGTAATGGGGACAACGGTAAAAGGGCTTACAGAATTCCTAAGATTCTAAGTAGCTTATTACTTATTAAATTTTGTCAATGACAGTTTTAATTTAAATTGAAAAATAATCCTAGAGTAAAAATTGGTTGATTGATTTCCTTTTCTGAATATAAAAAAAAATATGCATTACAATTGGACGTAAAATAAATGTACTTACAAGACCCCAGAATATTACAACTAATGAATCTAAAACAATAGAGTACCAAAATAAATGCCATTAGAATACTCAGGATTTGGTAATGCAGTATGAATTTAATAAAGCTCATGTTTTATATTCACAGTGCATAACCTTTACTATGAAGAATATCAACAAAGGTCACAACAGACACCAGAGAAAACAAAAGAACAAATCTTCAAGGTCTCCAAAGAAATCAAAAAGCTTAACTAATAAAGAATAACAAAACAAGTCCAGATCTTTTTTTTGTTTATTATTGAAGTTAACATTTTAAATAGCTTTAGACATTCTCTAGTACTGGTGGTTCATAACCATCAACTCTATCCACTTTCTCACCACCTTCAGCAGACTTGGTAGTGGTGGTTGTAGTACCACCATCACCATGAAGCTCCATCAATCTTCCAACTAAAATGAGAAAAGGCAAATATGAAAGCCAATTTGTCTTTTACAAAAACCTATGCAGTTTTAACCAACATTTGAACTATATCCAACCCAGAAGAAACTTCTGAAACAATTACACCATTTGCTAAAGGCCCACTATACATAACCTATCAATAATAATAAAATTAAACAAAATGACCGTTTCAGTAATCAACTACTGTAATTTATAGGGTTTATGGTTTTAATACCAGTTGACCATGATTAGAAACTTTGCTATTATCAACTCACCATCAAACTTGGGCTTTTTAAGAACCTTGACCTTTTGAATGAGCACATCATGAAGAGGATAGATGCCCTGGCAGCTCTTTTCAATATCCTTACCAATGCTGTCCGGAATTCTGAAAAATAAAAGGAATTTGTGCTTTTTTCAATCTCTATTTCTGAGACAAATGACAAAAATACAGGGGGGAGGGTGGAAGAGAAAGATAAAATTAACTGCCTTCGAAAAAAAAATAATCACACATTTAATTAATCAATCACACTTACAGCTTGTTAACAACCTCCTTCATGTCATTGCTAGATACTTCACGAGTTACAATTTCAACCATCTTCTTCCTGATAGCTTTAACCTAGAAACAATTTGTTTTTATTACAGCACTTGTAAATTGCAGTTTTCAATAAATGAATAAAGACAGGCAGTTAAAATTTGTATTTACCTGTGCATGCTGGGCATAGCAAGTTTTCTTGACTTGGTTGTTTCTCTTCTTAGTGAAACCAATAACAAAAACACGCAGCAAATAGCCATCAGTTGTCTTTACATCAACATTGGCTTCAATAAGAGTCTACAAATGAAATAAGATGTTAAAGGTGAAATAGAAGCTACAGAAATCTTTCTTAAAGTTACATTTTCTCAAGTATTAAAATTGCTGGATGTCATACCTGCCATTTCTTGACCATAGAGCACAGCTTGTCTCTAGTCAGAGACATACCATGGAAGTTGGTCAAAACATTGCGTCCCTGGACTTCTTCAGCAACTAACTTGAATTTTCTAAAAGTTACCTCATCGTTCTGAAGATCAGCCAAACTGACCTCAAATACACGACCTTTCAAGTTATCACTGGCAATTTCTAAAATAAAAAATGAGCAAATGAAACAATAGCAGAACAAACAGCAAGAGTAAAAACTTTTTTACATAACCACTCAAACTACTTACTAGTTCCCTGAGAACGGGTAACCAGAGTCTTGCCAATCTGCCTCACAGAAAACATAGAGGGAGCCTTGACATCGTACCATTCTTTCTTGGAAAAAGGATCAACACTGAAAATGAAAAAGTATTACAGAATTACTCAACTGACACTACAAAAAATACAAGCAGGGTAAATTCTATTATAAGTATTAAACTCAACTAGTGTCTCAGAATAAAATTAGAAGGCATCAATTTGACCAATAAGTCTAACTTTGTCCAAATTAGTTCGTCACAAGGAAAAATTAAAATTAGGACTAGTCTAGCCAAATGTGAGTAATGACTAAGTTTCAAAATATAGACCTACATGTAAAACTAAACTTTTGGTATAACAACCCTATTCAAGTTTGTGATTTGAGTACAGCCATAAATGTAACTAGATCTATTCTAGATCTAGAATTAACTGCAGCAACCCACTGCACTCTGATAGAAAATAGGCATTCCGACTTCCGCTGTTTCGATTCGGTATTCAACATCCGGACTTTTCGATGCAGTCTTTTTAAAAACTCGCCCTTTTCCGAAGAATGCCGAATCTCTCTGTTGGAATCGAGTTTTTAGAAATATTCGATATAGATATTCTAGTGTAGTCGTATTATATGTTTCAATTAGAAAATTACCGCCATTATGACAATCTTTAAGCCGAAATCGATCGCACGATTCTAATGAGTTTATCTCGCGAACATGTCCCGTACGGTGCTGTCACATTTTAAATAAGTTTACGTATTAAACCCTTTATAAGTGTCTTGCCATTAGTTGTAAGTGTCCATTAAATAAACAAATATTATTATAATAACGGTTTTATGGCACTTACTACTTCTGCTTACGAGTTATCATACATGTCAAATCCCCGAGCTAGCGCTTCGGCCTTGACAACGCCATGGCGTCGGTTTAGCACCGCATTACCTATTATCGATAAAATACGCGCACTAATGCCAATGACGTAGTTTTCGAAGTTGGAAATAATTTAAATTGTGGGTGGCACTGTTAAAACTAGATAAAATACGTTGATCAAGTTATCTATTAAAACTGACAGGCAAGAATCTTAGGCTTACTACATTAAATAGTGTTAAGCATTTCACACATACCTACTTACTTAGATTTAAGGCTAATACTAATAATAGCCTTTAATATACTATTATACTTTATACTATAAATAAGTTATAGGCCTATTTCTTAGTATAACTAATGCTATATACTATATGTATCGATTGATAAAGTAAGTCTGGGCCTATTATTGGTTATGATAAGTAAAGAAGGTTGGTGATAAACTTATTTAATTATTTGTAATAATTATGCTTATGACATTAGTAAATAATTAACAAAAGGTGCAGCAATTGACATGGGGGGGGGGGGGGTACTAATTAATAAGGCAGTGAATTTAGAATGACATGAAAAAGGCATGATAATTATTATTCATAATAATTTAGGATACAATTTTTACATTTAATAATAAAAAGTAACAAAAAACAAATAACAACAAACAATACGGATTTAAATCACTGCATGTTGCCAATATATATATTCATATAAGCAGATAGACAGGGAAGCTGTAACTTCTGATTTGGTACAAATTAACACTTAGCTTAATAAACTTTTACAAGAATTTAAGGTTTTTCTATTGATTAGTAATTTAGTTGTACCAAAATATCAATAGGGTCTTATAAAGGCCCTAGTATATTAAAGTAGTTTCCCTGTTGGACCTGTCAATCCATCATCCATAAAGCAGCTGAAGTAGAGTTTATCTGTTTCTTGACCCATGCACATGAAGTGATGGTGTGGTTAGCTCTCTGCCAAGCTATCTTTACTTTCCCTTGGGTCAGGTACTCATCTGAGCTTGGTGGATGCTGCACGCTGCACAGACAGACTCATCTGAGATCTGAGCTTAAGACTTGCATGTTAGTAGTTGAGTGCTTTACCACACCATCCCTAGTTTTATTTTTCAGCATTCTTCTTATTACATGCTTCAGTATCAATCACCAGATTTATCCTATCTATTATAGTAACATTCTGGACATACGTCTGTTGCAGTCACTAATAAAAGGGTGCAACACCCTTTCAAAGGACTTTTTAATTATATGCAGTCATACTTAATATAATTTTTTTCTATATTTCTATTGCCCCCACCCTCTAGCAAAGTTTCAATTTTAATATTAAAAAAAAAAAACATAGACTTTCAGTCTGCATATTGACCTATATAGAACAGCACCCCTCACTTTAATTTGACTTGATTAGTTCTAATTATCCTTCATCAAATTTTGATTTTACTTTCATATTTCTATTGCCCACACTCTCTAGCACTAATGTGCAAAGTTTTATAATTATATCTCGAATAGCAGCAGTGGTATGCAAGCCTAAAGCCAATCACACAATTAAATCCGATGTTACAGTGATATATAACAGGTTTAATACATAACTTTAAAAATTCATATAAAAAAAACTATTAGGCCTAGAATGATAAATTTGGTATTTTTTTCAATGGGGTATATTATAGGATTAATCTGTGTACATTTTATCATTCTATGGTAATTAGGAAAAATATCCCAACATTCCTAGATAGAAAAGTATAGAATTCTTGTGTGAAAATGTTGAACCAGCTGACTGGATAGGTGCATTTACAATTTATTGATTTTGATGTCCAAAAACATTCAGGAAATATTACTGATTTATTACTTTAATTCTACAGCATCTAAGCAACAAAAGATATAGAAATTGTTCGATAAAAATAACCACTTATTACTTTCATACCTGAAGATTCTATTTGTTTACATGGTAGAATAGACTTCACTAATCTTCTAATATCGATGGTCCAGAGAGGTAATCGACGTCTAAAAACTATTAACAAGCGTTAAGAAATGTTTCAGAAATAATATAACCCAAATTTCATACTTACACCTTCTTTTTTGTTCCTTTTTTTCCACCTTTAGTGAGGCGTTTATTTTTTCCGACAGCCATGATGACTGAAAGATTGTAAAAAGAAAGACAGGAAGAAGAACTCCTAAAAGGTCACTTCCTATCCGGACAAAAATAAAAAACTATAACTTCAAAAGATATACGAACAAATAGATAGGCTATAGGTAAATTCGTTAGCAAGTTTAATTTAATATCATATTAGACTGTTTATCTAGCCGCATTTGTTACAAACTCAACAAATAACAATTCGTTAAGTATATAAGCCTACATATATGATGCCTTCTTTGGAAAAATATATGCTCATTATTTAGGAATGGAATCGTGCATAAGTTACAATACGGGGTGGGGGGGGGGGGGGGGTTAAGGGGTTAGATATAGATATCTTGTTAGTTTAGGGCTTATCGATATCATTTTACTTTTACAATATTGTATAAAATGGCGTCAGGGATTTTATAAACATGTTACACAATATTCACAATGATTTTTCTTTTTTCTTATTTTTGCTAAATATTACTTAGGGGTCATCCATAAATGACGTCACATTCGTAAGGTCCGTCATTTTTGCGACGGTGTGTGATGAGGGGAAAGGGAGGGGAAAGGGAGGATGTGTTCAGATGGAGTGATTTCACACTTTTGCATTATAAACAAGCAATGTTAGAAAACGAATTTTAGCCGTTATTTCGCGTTTTAGAAAAGTGTTTCAATAAATTGTAATAGAAATTGATTAAAATACTCTGTGTTGACAGAGTTCAAACAAGGTTTTGGAGAATTATCGATGTTTTAAGAAAAATTCACCTGCAATTTTGAGGGGGGGGGGGGTAGGAGGAGGTGTGACGTCATTTGCCTTTTTGTGACGATATGTCAAAGGTAAAAATAGTTTTAAAAAAACGTGACTTCTGTATTGCAATGTAGAGTATATAGTGTGAATTATTTTTTGCAACACTGATTTCCCTTCAGCGTTTTAACACAAACCAATTTCTTTGGTATGTCGTCTCAATACCAAGTTAAATGAGTTTGGCATGGAGCCCCCAGTCCATAAGAGACACCACTCGTGTAATTCGTAGTATTTCAAAGCAATTTCCAGTTTAGTTCCCTTGGGATAAAATTTAAAATAGTATTTTAATAACTGAATGTTGGGCCTAATCAAAACGTAGGCGCTATACTTGCGTCATAAATGATACGGGTCAGAGGATGGGCAGAGAGATTTCTCTTTCTTTTCCGGCAAATAAGAATTGCTGTTATTTTAAAAGTTTTGGTGTGTTGGGAAGGTGAACTGTAAACGTGCTTCCGAAGAGATGCCTGAAAGAAACACTGTGCATAACGATGAGAGGGGTAATTTAGGAAATGTGACTTCCCACTTTAACAATGTATTCAGTATTTTTTTAAACTTAATTTTACCGTTATTTCGCAATATTTTAAAAAACTTTTTGTAAAGTAAGTCTACAATGTTTTGTCAAAATTGTTTAAAACGTTATCGTGGCAAAATCAAGATCGCTAGCAAGCAGTTAACAAACGATAACTAATACAGTTAATTACTAGTTATATCATTTCACCAAATAGATACATAAATTGGATTTATATGTTATAATACAGAAATCGGTGTTTCAAAAGGGGAATGTTTAAGTTGGGAAGGGGAGAGAATGTATGTGCGGCATCTGTATAGGTGTTCTGACTTTTGGTGAACACGTGTGACAATGATGTGCAGGTAAGAATTGGGCCGATTTAATTATGGACGATCACTCGTTAAATTCTTAACAAAATTATTCCAGACGTATCTAAATGGCTACTCGACGACAACGACAGCGGAGGTCATTCGCTTGACCACAGAACACACCAGGATATGTTGGACTAGATTTGAATTCTTGTCCAAAAAAGTTTATTTTATTTTGTCGATGAATTTACCTGTTCTTTACATTTGGTCTTGCGGTCTTTAAAGAACCTCTTTTTTGTATTGAAATGAAAAATGTCTAAAATAAAAATCAGCAAGCAAGCCTAGAGACATGTATACTGCCGCAATCTTGTTAGTTCCGTGAAAACTTGACCCAGAACAATACACGTTACCCGTGTTGCTTACACTACACACACTAGAAAATAATCTTGATGACCAATTGAAGGAACGGACGTGAGTTATATACAGGGGTGGGGTGTACCGGGTGAATTGTACAGGGGTGGGGTGTACAATGTGGACTTACAAGGGTGGGGTGTACAGGGGATGGGAAGAGCAGGGGTGGGATGTACAGAGGTGGGGTGGCAAGGGCAGGGGTGGAATATAAAGAGGTGGGGTGTACAGGGGATGGGAAGGGCAGGGGTGGGATATACAGAGGCGGGTGGGAAGGGCAGGGGTGGAATATAAAGAGGTGGGGTGTACTGGGGATGGGAAGGGCACGGGTGGGATATACAGAGGTGGGGTGGGAAGGGCAGGGGTGGAATATAAAGAGGTGGGGTGTACAGGGGATGGGAAGGGCAGGGGTGGGATATACAGAGGCGGGAAGGGCAGGGGTGGACCTCTATTTACGTCCAAGCTACTTGGGAAGTAAAGAAAAAAATTGGCCACATCTCCAGTGTATCAAAGAAACGTATCATATAGATCTAAAGCAATCAATACAACATCAATAAAACACAACTATTCAGTTGAGACAGAACTGGGTCAAGTATATATTTTCTTCCGTCCGACGTTAGTAACTTTGGGCCTTACAACAAAGACAAATAAAATGACGAAGTGCCTTGGGAATATAATTATAAATGTATTCCATGTGTAGACTAGTCTACTTCCTATCTCGACAAGACGAAGACAAATTTAAACTTTCGTACTCTTTCCTGATACACACAACTTCTTCACAGGTCGCATCACAATCTATACAATCTCGCGTCACAATCTTTACAATTTGTTTATTTAAATACACCCACAACACACATACACTCACACGCGTGGGTTGATATCTCTCTACTCTCAATGAAAACCACACAACATTCATTCATAAAAGGGGTAAATTTTTCCATTCTCTAGAATGTAAGTAGAGTCTGTGCTGTTGTTGATATAGCTCGCTCGAATGCTGAACCCGCTCCTGCTGATCACAAGGACGTCACACAGGGATAGAATGAACTGATCTAGAATGTTCCATTTAAAACCATCGCAGGCCTCCGATCCACTACGCTGACGGTCAATGTGTTTAATCGTTGCGCCATATTCTATGAAACGTTTACCGAAAAAGTTTCGCGAGTGAATTCGAATATTGATGTAATCTGTTGCTACATAAAACATGGCGTCCCCGTTAGTGTCTTTTGATAGCATGAACCTATGCAACACCGGCAAATCTTCAACAGTGACAGCTGTGAAGGCACCGTCGTAGGGGTTGGATGGATTCTGACCCACACGAGCATGCGCACAGATGAGGCTAGAATTACCAACATTGTACAGAGATTTTACTTCCGGTGGTTGACTTTCAACCGGAAGTAGACCTTTCTTTTTGAGGAAGTTCACCCCAAGTATCGATACCAGATCCGCCACGAGTGTGGAGGTGGGCTGCATGAGTTGGCCCCACGCCCAGTGAAATCGATTCCTGTTGTTATACAGGCCATTCCATTGCTTCAATACACTCAGGTAAAATGGGTTTTTGCTAATAAAGGCGAACAGATCTGAATTTGTTTTGATGTACAACACTGTTTGAGGAAATAACTCGTTGAAATCTCCAGCCGAAAGATTTGTAAACAACATTCTCCCCTCTGGTGTCATTGTAATGATGGTGTTATTTTTAGACGGTCGTTCAAGGTCTGGTGGTGGTATCCACTGTGTTTTAAACGGCATGAAGAAATGGGTGATGTTACAAGGACTTATCATTATCATACCAAACCGCCGGTTGACCATCCTAGACAAGACGTAGACAGCGACTAGACCTCTCTGTCGGTCGCCCATACCGCCGCACATATTTCGGCCATCGCATAGATAAACTAAATACCGCACCGTGTCGTTAGTTTCCGGCCAAGGCACAGAGGGCGGCATGACTTGAGGTTGGGGAAGAATTGGTTTTTTGAGTCTGACGGTATCCTTCGGGCTCCTTGTAAAATTGGTTTTGGGTATCGTAGCGTTGAAGAAGACTGTTGGCCATGTTTCGTGTATCAAGGTGAAATTGTATTTAAATGGTGTCGGTTCCTCGAGCGTCGTCCTCGAGATCGATATGGAAGCAGACTCCAAATAACGAATGTATGAGCTACTGGCATACAAATGGCGTGACGTGTTATTATGGTGATGGCCCCTCGTCACAAGCTCCAGCTGCCTTTTATGAATGTTTGTGATCTCAACGTTAGGAATGAAGAGGTTGTCTTTAAATCTGTATCCCAGATACACAGTCCACGAGACTATGGAGATAATGACGACACACACCAGCTGTGTCATACACGTCTGGTTCTTGCACGTCTAAGGGAGCAGAGAGGCAACCAGTTAGTGCTTACAACATATGAATATCATCAGTACATGCTGAATAAATAGGTTAAGTTGGAGTGTATTTTGTAATGACATTCGCACTAGAGTGGTGCATGCTGGGTGTCAGAAAGGTAATTCTAAATGTGGGCGGTACAAGTTCTGATAAGTCCTGTACCAGTTCTAAGCATTTTATTTATTCTTGTTAAACTTAGTTAAAGTATCACATAAATCAAGCTGTGAACATCTGTTGAAAAATGTGTAACTAAACCATAATACTTTTCGTTTTACATTTTGGTGTATAAAAAACATTTTCTCCCGTCACAATTTAAAGTTTTCGTCACAAATCTTCCTAATTGTTTGCCATTTTTTAAAACCTAAAACGAAAATAAAGAGGTCATTTTGTTGACCCCAGATTAATAGCGTTGGGTAATTTGATGACTAGGAAATCATAAAGAACAAACACATTTTGGCAATTTTGTTTATCAAGCGGTACAGGAACAAGGGCGTTCACCCTTGTAGAATAAACTTTGAACATCACACTCGAGGCTACGCCAAGGGCAGCCATGCGCAACAAACATGAGAAAGTCGTGATTGTTTTAAGCAACATAACGGAGGAGATATATCTTAGAAAACTGAATGCTGAATAAACTTCCACAGCCATAAAATGTACACATTTAAAGCAAGTATATATATATTATTTTAATATTTGTTGACCTTACATTTTTTTCATACATTTTAAATTTAAATATAACCCGCTCATTAAATAAAATCACAACAATCATTCATAAAATGGGGTAATTTTTCCATTTTCTAGAATGTAAGTAGAGTCTGCGCTGTTGCTTATGTAGTAAGCTCTAATGCTGAAACCGCTTGGACTTATCACAAGAACGTCACATAAGGATAGAATGAACTGATCTAGAATGTTCCACTTAAAACCATCGCAGGCTTCTGACCCCGTCCTCGTGCGGTCGATATGCGTGATTTTCGCGCCATATTCTATGAAACGTTTACCGAAAAAGTTTCGCGATTGAATCCGAACATTAATGTAATCCGTTGCTACGTAAAACATGGCGTTTCCGTTAGTGTCCTTTGATAGCATGAAATTATACAACAGCGGCAAATCTTTAACAGTTACAGCAGTAAAGGGACCATCAAATGGGTTGGATGGATTCTGTCCTATTCGGACATGCGCACAGATGAGGCTAGAATTACCAACATTGTACAGCGATTTTACTTCCGGTGGTTGAATTTCAGATACCGGAAGTAGACCTTTCTTTTTGAGGAAGTTCCCGCCAAGTATGGACACCAGATCCGCCAACATGGCACTCGACGGCTGCATGAGTTGGCCCCACGCCCAGTGAAATCGACCTCTGTTATTGAGGAGGCCATTCCACTGCTTCAGCAGGCTGGAGTAGAACTTGTTTCTGCTGATAAACGCGAACAGATCGGTGTTTGTTTTAATATACAGCACTTTTTGAGGAAACATCTCATTGAAATCTCCAGCTGTAAGGTTTGTGAACAGTAGCCTCCCTTCTGTTGTCATGGTAATGATGGTGTTATTTTTAGACGGCCGTTCGAGGTCTGGTGGTGGTATCCACTGTGTTTTAAACGGCATGAAGAAATTGGTGATGTTACAAGGACTTATCATTATCATACCAAACCGCCGGTTGACCATCCTAGACAAGACGTAGACAGCGACTAGACCTCTCTGTCGGTCGCCCATACCGCCGCACATATTTCGGCCATCGCATAGATAAACTAAATACCGCACCGTGTCGTTAGTTTCTGGCCAAGGCACAGAGGGCGGCATGACTTGAGGTTGGGGAAGAATTAGTTTTTTGCGCTGAACGTTCTTGGGGCTTCTTGTAAAATTACTCTGGGGAATAGTCACGTTAAAGAAAACAGTTGGCCATGTCTCGTGTTCTAGGGTGAAGTTGTATTTGAAGGTAGCCTCAGGGTGATCAAGCGTGGTCACCTCTAGCTTGTGAGTGGTCAACTCTGGTTTATCTCTGGTCACCTCTGGTTTTTCTCTGGTCAACTCTGGTTTTTCTCTGGTCAACTCTGGGTTTTCTCTGGTCAACTCTGGTTTATCTCTGGTCAACTCTGGTTTTTCTCTGGTCAACTCTGGTTTTTCTCTGGTCATCTCTGGTTTTTGTGTGATGACCTCTTGTGTTTGTATCACCAGTTCTGGCTTCAGTGTGGCCAGGTCAATCTTCAGATCTGGCGCTCTGTGTAGCGGGACGGTGCCGGGTAAACCATGCAGACTGCCGCCATCGTGGGTCGAGGTGAGGGGAGCCACCATCCTCTTGCGTAAGTTTGTGATTTGATCAACAGGAGCGAAGAGGTTTTCTTTAAAACTGTACTTGAGGTACACGGTCCAGGAGATAACGGACACACACACGATACACACCAGCGGTATCATGCACCGGTGGTTCTTGCAGTTCTAGGGAAGCAGAGAGTCAAAGCGGTTAATGCTGGCAAACATAATGGCCGTAGGGCCATGGCATGATTTATTAGCGAATTATATTTTTAAAAATGTAGGTACTGAACTCAAAGTTAGATTTCAGGAGAATTCTGCAATGCCATGCTTATCAAAATTAAATTTTGTGGATAGGTTTAATTTTCTGTTAGATGTTCAAACGATAAATATTATGTTGTCGGAATGCAGACATTGAATTCTCAAAAGATTCATAAAAATTTTTTTAATCAAAATATAGACTGGAACAAACTAACTTAAGTATGTTCAATGTTGAAATATTACACACACACTCTCTCACACCCACACCCACACACGCATATTTATATATATATATATATATATATATATATATATATATATATATATATATATATATATATATATATATATATATATATATATACATATATATACATATATACACATATATATATATATATATATATATATATATATATATATATATATATTATATATATATATATATATATATATATATATATGTATATATATATATACATATGTATATAATACACATATCGTTTTTTAAAGTTTTACGGCATGTTAGAACAGCCGAGTATCTGTTATATTGTAATCTTTTTGTGTAGCACCATACACAAACTAACTTTACCGCGCTTGATATAGAATTATAGATGTTGTTAAAGGTCCCATGACAGCTCGAGAGATAAACACCAGAGGGCCCATAACTCGAGAGATGAACACCAGAGGGCCCATAACTCGAGAGATGAACATCACAGGGCCCATAACTCGAGAGATGAACATCACAGGGCCCATAACTCGAGAGATGAACATCACAGGGCCCATAACTCGAGTGATGAACATCACAGGGCCCATAACTCGAGAGATGAACATCACAGGGCCCATAACTCGAGAGATGAACATCACAGGGCCCATAACTCGAGTGATGAACACCACAGGGCCCATAACTCGAGAGATGAACATCACAGGGCCCATAACTCGAGAGATGAACATCACAGGGGCCTTAACTCGAGAGATGATCATTATAGGGCCCATAACTCGAGAGGTGAACATCACAGGGCCCATAACTCGAGAGATGAACATCACATCATTAAGGATAGACAATCACAATTGTGGCAAATAAAAATTCTGATTAACTTATTTTTCAAAAAGTAAATCACAAAGACAACGTATTTTAACAGGAATAAAATCGTTCAACCATTTGGGGGAGGGGGTGAAAATTAAAATCTTGGGAGCATCTCGATATTCTCTCTCTAAAAATCTTTCTCTGCTTCAAACTGAACACAGCAACCTCTGCAGCTTTATACCTCTGAAGCCCATAGCAATTTTAAAAAACTTGAAGCGATCTTCGATGTGTAAGAAACAGCTGAACACGTTTGAATGAAATTCTAAAGCCCACTAAACCTGGGTGTGACAGCAAAGTAAAGCGTGTGTAGTGTCCCAGTTCAATGATTTTGGAATGTCTATAAATAGAGCGCTATGTCGTGGAGGTACACTTACACACGTAGCAAAATTAATGTCGCTAATCATATAGACCAACATTGATATGCATAGCAATATATATGGAATTGGCATTTCTCTTAACAAGTGGGCCTATCTATTTCTAAGTGAAAACATTCCATAGCGTATGTACACCTCAGCTTCTCATGACAAACGTTGGAATTTGTACCACCTATAACTGACAATGTGCAATAAAGCCTTTGTGTCTTCTTTTAAATCTTTACCCCTAAAAACAATGTTTCATTTTTAAATAGAAAGATATTATAAGAAAATAAAACTTATAACAACACTAAACAATATATGTGTGCCTAACGTATTCATATGAATAAAGTAACAGCCCTAAAGAGAACAGAGGAAAAATTCAGAGAACTTACTCGAACGTTCATTTTCCTGTCCCAGTGAACCTGATACTAGCCAGACTAGATGTGTGCCACGACTGGCTGCTACTACTGCTAGGTCTTATTTGCTACCCCCCCCCCCCCCCTTTACAGGCTTATCAATCTTACGCTTCAGTCGGATACTAAATAAACCAAAGTACGGTTCTTACGTTATAGGAGACTCACCCTGATTATTACAAATAGAATTATAATTGTTAATTAGATTAGGATACGGGTATTCATTTAAAAATAATTTTCAAGTAGACTTTATTGAATTAATATCTAAAACTTTTTTTCAACTAGCTTTGTAATTCTGATTAACTAAAGTGTTTTATTAAATAGAGGATGACACCACAATGTAAGAGACAAGTAGAGTGTGTGAACAGGCTAGAGGAAATGACTCTTTATCCGGTTACATGAATAACTTTTTGTGACGATGTGTGACGAGGGGTGGGGTGGGGGTGTATGTTAGAAAGTGTTTCACCTGAACTGAATACTTTAACCCATATTTCACGTTACTAAAAGACTGCTCTTTATAAAATCGACCGAGATCAGTAAATATTTTTAAAAAAAGATTTTGAGGGGAGGGGGGTGGTTGGTCTAGCTTTTATGTCGATAGTGTTGTTTCTTCCAGAATTTTTCTCCGGGGGGCACTTGATATTTTCGGAGAGGGGGGGGGGGGGCGGTCAACATTTCCCGGGGGGGGGGGACACTGGTAAAAGTATATGTTTTTTATATAAATTCCATTTCGTTCGGGGGGGGGGGAGGTACACTTTCTTCGAGGGGGGAAAGGGGGGGGGAGAGGCGAAAGAGATGCCTGGAAGAAACTCTGGCCGATGTTTCACAGGGGGAAGGGCGGTCAACATTTCCCGGGGGGGGGGGGGGCGGACACTGGTAAAAGTATATGTTTTTTATATAAATTCCATTTCGTTCGGGGGGGGGGGGGATAGACTTTCTTCGAGGGGGGAAGGGGGTGGAGAGGCGAAAGGGATGCCTGGAAGAAACTCTGGCCGATGTTTCACAGGGGGAAGGAGGGACATTTTTTTTTTCAAAAAAAGCGTGACGTCATTTATTGTGCTGTAAGCGGATGTCACTGACATGGAGCGAGAGTGGGACACAAACAGAATCATATATGAAGACGAAAACTGTTACACTACAATTCATGCAAATATGATATGGCCGTTTAAAAAAAAAAAAAGAAATTTGAGAACAAGAGGTCGACTGAAGTGTGGCATAATTTTATTGTGGAAGGTGGTGGGGGTCGTAGTCGGCAAAAACATGACTACGTCAATTGACAAACACTGCATGTCAGTGATATATATATATATATATATATATATATATATATATATATATATATATATATATATATATATATATATATATATATATATATATATGTGTTACGGTCAAAGCCCGAAGTTGGCCAATGCTAGGATTGGCCGGCCAATCCGCGCATTGGCCAATATCGCCTCCCAGAGGTCGGTCAAAGTCCGAAACTTTGCTTGATTTCGGCCTTTGGCCGGCCAATCCGCAGACTGGCCATTGTGGACCGGCCAAAGTCTGAAATAGCTCTTGATTTCGGCCTTTGGCCTGCCAGTCCGCGGACTGGCCATGGTGGACCGGCCAAAGTCTTAATTAGAAGATCATCTGGCTAGGGACGACCGGCCAAAGTCCGAATTAGAAGATCATGAGCAGATTTTGGGTTTTTTTTATGCCGTAAGGATCATGAAATTAAGTCTTTATTGATTATTAATTAAAGTAACTGACAGAAACATTCACATTTTTTATTGTACTATAGTCTCAATCTATCAATATCATCATTTGTTACAACAAGTTGAGCTTTTATGGCATTTAGAATTACATAGCAGCTTGTTATTTTTACACTTGCAGCGATTTGTAGTGCACTTAGTTGTGCAATTGCAGCGAGTGTAGCCTTGGCCCCCAGTCAATGATTGTGAAGATGCGATGGTTCGTAGTGATTTTTCCTCAGTGCCAACTGACGACAATAAGAGCAGTTTTTCGTGAAGAATTGAAAACTCACTTCTAGCATACAGTTGTTTTAGAACACCATGTTCCGTTGCTAATTTGTAGAAACCGCCCTCGACGCTCATGACCTCTGTCAACATCTGGAAAACGGATGCGTACATTGTCACCCACTTCACCATCTTTAAATTTTGTATTTGATGTTTTAAGCATCTTAGCACCTTGAGTTTGCAAGCCAGTATGAGCTGCTGATCTGTGTTCCATGATGTCTTGTTTGTTGTGACACAATCTGCAGGTAATGTTCCCTCCGTACCATTCGTCTGCTTCATTTGATATTCCACACATAGCATGGACATCGTTGCCACAGGATCCAAAAGAATGAGCTGCACTACAATGTTTTTCACAAACTATACAGAATCTGTTGGCCACATTATTGTCACGCAACTGGTCTGGACGTTCCGCCACGGCAGTAGATGTGTTAGCTGAGGATGTCGTTGCATTTACGGCAACCTCCATTACTTGTTCAATGTTCTCAAGATCTTCCTCAGTAATTATTTTATCGAGAGCCCATATATGGAAACTAACATGGATTTACATTTTCTTTCTTTTGACAGCCATCTGCTATGTCTGTCTCATGGTCTGACGGCCCTTTTGATCCATGTCGCCTTGCATATAGAATGCTATACAAACAAGAGCTAAACAATACGTTACTCTCAATGAAAACACACCCAAAATAATGAAAATGCGATCACAACTTAGTCTAGATAGAACATTGGCCAGGACATCCCGGCCAGTGCGCACATTGGCCGGCCAATGTACAAAATACGCTGTCAAGTTTAAGCGCTTCGGACTTTGGCCAGTACGTCCCGGCCAGTGCGCGCATTGGCCGGCCAATGTACGAAATGCGATCTTAGTGCTAAGTTCTTCGGGCTTTGGCCAAGAGAGCCGGCCAATGCGCGGATTGGCCGGCCAATCCGCGCTTTGGCCGCACTTCGGGCTTTGACCGTAACATATATATACGTTTTCATATATATAATATATAAAACTGCGATTGTTTGTAACATTTTTTTCTCGGTAGACCATCTCTTGAAATTATGATGTGGAAAGTTATGGGCCCGATTTTTAAAGAATTTTATGCTAAAGCTAAGTGTTGCTTTTCTGTGTAAATTGTATAGTCTATAGCTTCATAATATTATATGGTATACGGGTGGGCCTTTCAATATGATAAATAAACATGTGCACAATTCCTAAACAACAGCAGTTGTAAGATTCTACAGCTAATTCAACGTGTGCATAGCACTTTTCAATGTATTATAGATTCTAAACTGCTAAAGCTTACCCAACTAATAAACTAAGGAAAACTTGTGTATTCCTTGGTTCTTACCCAGTACTTTACTTTAACTTTAGCTCTAGATTCTACACAATTTCAATACTATTTAATAAATATTAAATAGAGTATAGATAATAGATAGTTAGGTCCGATAGTAATTATAGGCCTCGTAGTTACTAGATCTAGATATCTAGATTCTAATTAATTCTTTTAATTTTAAAGTTTTAAGTATGCCGCCATTTACTTGATTTACTAACTATGTATTTACTATTTCTATTTATTTACAATTATTTACATGCTACTACTACTACTACTTACTTAATGTTAATTATTTTTAACTAACAAACAAATTACTGATGTTTTATTAAATTAAACTTACATTAGGCCTACTTAACTTATTACTTACATTAAACATTACAATAACCTAACAATAACATTTAGCTTTAGTTTAGTTAATAGTTTGTGTTCACGTTTTCTCATTCTACTCATTTGAGCCTTAATAAATAATAATATTAAGTTAATATTAATAAGGCCGGTGCTAGCTGGAATAACATACACATGCGCAATGGAGAGAAACTATGACTTGTCACCGCGGCGATGTTTTCGATGGTACTGCGCATGCGTGTGTTTACAACCGTAGAACCCTAATCCTAACCCTATCCCTAATCCTATCCCTAACCCTATACCTAACCCTCATTCTAGCCATAGGTCACTGCGCATGCGCAGAGCTATCTTTTGCCGACTAAGTGGAGACGTTGGGGAGAAAAATCTTCTTCCGAGTAGTCACTTCGTATTAATTATTAAGTGATAGGCCTAGGCCTATACTATAATATTAAGTTAGTATTTAATATTGAATAGGCCTAAGTTAATTAATACTTTAATTAATACTTATTAGTTATTACTTAGTTAATAGACTAGCGAGAGAGTCTATATTAAATATTAGTCAGTAATATTTGATAATAAATAAGTTATGACTTAACTTAGTATTTCATGTTTACTCATTCTACTCTTCTGAGTCTTAATACTTATTACTACTAATAGTAATAATATTAATAGAGAGTCTATATGACTTAACTTAAAATTTCTTAGTAGTTAGTAGGTCCAACATGATTTTTTTTATTAATCTAATTTCTATCTAATCTAGTTCTAGAAGAAATTGAGTTGCAAATTATGATGATTGTACAAACATGACATCCAGTACAAGTGCTGAAACAGGTAAAAAAATTTCTGATTGAAAAATTCTCCTTGTTTCTTACTATGACATGGAGGAGGATTGTTGGGTTATTTTTTTCCTGCTGGTATGGCTAGATATACATAGTGTTTTCTTTTAGAATAGCCTATATATTTTATAGCTTCAAATGTAGAAACACATACAGGCCTACATTAAAAATATGATTAAAATGATTACCATTATTACTCAACCATATTCCAAAGAGTAGGCTATTTTTTAAATTTATTTTATAAATATATTACTTTATGTACTATTAATAGTTAATACATCAATTCCAATTGAAATAGTTGTTATATTTTCCAGTACAACACGGATTAATTTTATTTATTCTTTGGCAAATCATACATATTTTAAAATGACCATGTATGTGTATTACAATTTAAAAAACAACAACATGTTTTAACCAGTCATATATATTTTAAACTTGGTTTCAAATATTCTTAGGAAAGGTTGTCAGAGATGTTCTGGTGGAGTTTGTTGAAGTCGCAATACACAGCATCCTTTACAACAGGGAACTGTATCCTCAGGGAGCCTTTGAAAAGAGAGTCAAGTACAATGTACCTGTTCAGGTTAAGGTTTTTTTTTAAAAAATAGCTTTAAAATTTTTAAGAGGTAGAATCTGATTGACCTATCTATAGGAAATATTTGATTTGAGATGCTCTTTTGTATTTAAGTATAAATTTAAAAAAAAAAATGAGGTTTTAATTTTTATACTGTCCTTCAAAGCACTCACTGAAAGTAAAAGGGAAAAAAAAGGAATGGAGAAATTTTTTTTTAAAGTTTATATTAATTTTACTTTCCACAAATACTTTTAATAGATGTGTCTTCATCCTGATGTCTGTGAATACATAGGACACCTCAGTGAAAGCTTATTAGCTCTGTTGTCTGAAGGACGTGTGAATAAAATATCTGTAGTTATCTTGCACCCTGACACTCAGGCACCCATTGAAAGATATGTACTTGAAATTGGAGATTTAAAAAACCAATGGAGCGAGTAAGTAATTAAATTTGCTCATGTTTTAATAGACCATCATGACACAGTTGATAGAAAAAAATCTCCTATCATCAATGCAATAACAAATTACTAAAATTATTTATTATTTTTTTTCTTTTAGGAGTGACCCTTATTTACTGCATACCGAACAAGCTTTGAGGGGATTTTTACTGAAATTAAACATTAGTGACGCCTTACTACAGCCAGCACCTAAAGGTATGAGCGCTTAGGAAGTTTAGTCGTTTTTTTCTCCTAACTTAATACTACTTTGTAATTATGCAACAGTGATAATTTCTATAACGCATGTATTGCAGAAGCAACATGGACAGTTCATGTCCACACAAAGGCCTCTACATTAGCAGCTGTAGAGGAACAGTTCATCTTAAATGTAAGTTTACTGTCAATTGGTTGTTAAAATAGCAAACATTAATATCAATGCTTTTATTGGGGGGAGGGGAGAATTAATCTTTATTGATTATCAATGTATTATATGTAACACTATCTGAATACAAAGGTACATTTTATAAATCCAAGTCAGAAAAATAAAATGTGTTTTTCTATCTTAGGACTTTCCGTGGGCTGTGGCTCAGGAAAAGGAACAAAATATACAAAATGCCAAACTGGTTCCTCTGCGTAGCATGAATACAGATATGTTAAATGTAAGTTTGTATACACTTTCTTCAACTTCTAGTTCTATTTATCTTTATTCTTTGAAACAGGTGATTAGCTAATTGTTTTGTGTTCATTTAATATCCTTCAATATCAGGAATTAAGATATTTAAATCCAAGTAAAAATAAATTTCATCATTGTGTTCAAATAAGTAATTCTCCCTGCAGATGCAGCTGTATGTTGAAGAAGAAAACAGACACCTCAGTGGCTAGTTTCTGCCTACGACAGCTTCTAATCTAGTGTTAAAATCAGCCTTACACCGGTGCATTTAGCAAAATCATAGTGTACTTTTTGTTACAAAATCTGGTAGAAATAAATTTGTAATAAACAGCCCATTTACACTTTATAAGGATCAATTGCTAAGATCTGACACACTGTATCGTAATGTTCTCTATTTGCTGATAAACGTATTAAAGGGAGTTATCAGTACTGAAATGTAATTGTAGTACATAGCTGTCTAGTAAAAATTGAAAGATGAATGAAAACATTTTAACATTGAAACAAAACTTTTAATCCTCATATGATGAAAGTGTTTTGGTGCATCTTGAAGGGATAGTGTGGTTACTTTTCCCCATGACCAGTCAGATATATCAATCAGAACTGGGTGGACTAAGGGATGTCCTACTGAATCCAGTCTGATATCCAAACTATAGACCTTGGGTTAGTGGTTCTATGCTGTCTCACTAATATATCAATATTAATACTAATAGTTTCGCTGTCTGTCTATCTATCTATCTGACAAGAACGCTCTAGAGAAAACACAAGGAAAATAAAAACATGCATAGTATTTCGAAAAACGAAGTATGACGTCGACACATTTAGCGCACAGAGTAGAAAATAATCTCAAGCCGGATAGTGCACACATTGATATGACGTCATTGATTTGGTCTAATTTGGTCTAATCTAAGTGGTTTGCGTGAAGTTTCTTTCATACAATTCTTCGGGTAGGGGCGAAGCCCCACCCCCGCGTAAGAACGTCTGAGCCCCCCCCCCCCCCTCTCCCCAACTCAAAAGAAATTTCCTCATCGATACTCTATAATAAAATTACCGCCTAATTAATGTGTCTCATCTAAAAAGTGGTTTTCTTGCAATTTCTTTAATGCAATTCTTCGCGTAGTGGCTATGCGCGACACCAGTGTTTCTTTCAGACTTTTTCCTCCACGGAGAGGGGTGAGGGTACTTGAAATTTTCGGGGGCGGGGGTAGAATTTTCGGGGAGGGGGCGGACACTGGAAAAAGTAAATAATTATATTTCGTTGAATGGGACGGTAGACATGTTTTTTAGAGGGGGGGGGGGGGGGGGGGGGTGGGGGGTGTGGGTGTGTGGGTGGGTGGGGGGTGGGGTGGGGTGGGTGTGTGGGTGGGTGGTGGGGTGTGTGGGGGTGGTGGGGGTGGGGGGTGGTGTGTGTGGGGGTGGGGGGTGGGGGTGGGGGGGTGGTTTTAGTTTAGAGAAAAGAGACAGCACTATCAGCCTAGCGCCCGGTGTATCCTTCCTCAACGGGCCATTTTTCTCGTATATAAGAATAGTTAATTCTAAAAACAACAGTTTGGTATTTTATTTGTTTTTACTGTTTACACAGTATAGCTCTATATACCATTAAAAAAAATAAAAAATTGAAACAAAATCTGGGAATTATTTTTTTCTTTATATAAATATATCAGCAAGAAACTGACTTGTAAGCAAACTGAATTTAATGTGATTGTAATAGGATAATATTTCAATGAATTTTGACAGTGATAAAGGCCTAAATATCTGACCTCTCAGATATAAACAACCTTTCATTTAATTCTTGATCTTATCTAAACACTCAAACTGAGTCAAACAATATGCACTGCTGGTAATTTCAAATTGAACTGTATAAAATATTTGACACATTGTACAAGAATATTGCAACAAATTCAACAGCTTTAACATTGCAACAAATCCAACAGCTGTAACATTTTACAGAAAAAACCCTGCATATGACTATTAAAACATGCTGTTTAACAAAATACTTTTGGCAGATCAATAGTTTTCTAAAAGCATGATCTATTAAATCCATTGATCTAATATAATTTTAATCTTGCTGATATCCTACACAAAATCAGAAATTTAGAAAATTCTTTGGTGACTAACAATTTGTGGGTTGTCAAAAATAAACCCGAATTATACAATTGTAAATGACATATTTTATAGGTGGTGAAACAAGAAACAATGGGAAAAAACCTACAAAACAAAAAAACACTCTACAATTGTAGGCTGTACTATTCTGTTTGTATAACTTCTTCTATGGTGGCTTCTTCTGTATCTAAAAGCTCATCCCCATCTTTCATCACATGAAGCTCAATAATTCCATCTTTATTGTTACTAAGGCTTTGCAGCAGTTCGCTAGATAGAGGTGCTACACTGAATTCTTTAGTCGACATAATAAAAGAAGTAGAAGTAACAGAACTGGCATCTATGTTATCCTGGGACGAGGCAATAGATAATGGCAAACCTGCAATGCTTGTATCATTTTGCGAGGTACCATTATTTACTGCCAACTGCTTAAAACTGTAAGTGGGAGATGATGGCTGGCTAGATAACATAGTGCTTGTGGTGTAGCTGGGTGCTGCACTGGGAACCAATTCACCAGAACCATCTTTTAGGTTGGCTTTCGCAAATGGTAAAAATTTGCTGCGTCTGGGGGTGACCTCTTCACCTCTGGCTTGATGCAGCTTCAGGCATTTTTTAGCAGCGGCCAACGAATGAACAGAGATGGTTCTCTGGTGCGAGGCGGTGGAAATAGCATCTTTGGACATGATACCTAATTCTTCTAAGACATCCTTCAAAGCTTGAATTGTATCCAGTGCTGTTTGAAGGTTGCTGGTTAAATCTTCTTGAGAAATTTCAGTCACTTCTGTCACTTTACTGTACAGCTCACTTAAGATTGAAAGAGCTTCATCAGCCATGCCAACACCCAGACGAGTGAAGAGCTTATCATAGACTGACACTCGTATTTGAGCAGCAGCATTTTTGGCCAACTTGAACAATCCAGATGCCATGGTTTCAACGCCTGGGTCAGAAATTCCAACCAGGGGTTGGGGGTCTGAACAAAATGTTGACTCAAACTTGGGGTGCAGTGCATACTTGCCGTTCATGGTGTGGGGGACAGCTGGCAAGTCTGTTAGGGTAGAAAGTTTTTGGAGCTCTGCCCAGGTGGCAGCTTCTGGGGTAAAGCAAGAAGACTCGCTGTCACTAGTGACCAGCTTGACATCATCAAACACAGTGGTTTGGGAGAGAATGTGTTCGAACCTCTGGGTGTTTTGCTGGACAAATTTTAAATCTTTCTGATCCAGAGGGTCAAGGTTATCATAGGAGCAGCTGGAGCCGTACTCATCTGGAGGCTCACACTTAGGCACAATGTCAGAAAATGGCTTTTCTTCATCCAAGCCTAATTTAGCAGTTTGATGCTTGGAGTACTTGGGACTGCACATGACAAAAGGACTTTCTACGGCAATGTCAGGACCAAAGTTCTTTGGTTTCCTCACTCTCTTGCTCTTCCGCATAGTTGGGGAATAATCAGAGTCGGAATCAGCATTTTCATCCAGTTGGTCATAATCTTGCCTTCTCTTACGCCTCAGTTCTTTCAACGCTTTCATTCTCAAAGCAACCATCTTTTTCCGCCTGATGTTAAACTGTTCTACAGTCATTGCTTTACAATGCTCACAGTTCAGGTCATGTATGTGCTCAGGACCAAGGCAGTTGAGACATTCACTGTGACCATCTAAAGGAGAGATGTAACCTCCACACTTCAAACAGGATTTTATGTCTGTAGCTGAGAAATCTTCCGTTTTTATTTTGGCTGGTGATGGGCAAGGGGATGAAGACTTGGATATGATTTTACCAAGTGGCAAGCCTTTAAGAAGCTCCTGGAGGTTAGTACCTGTCTGGGTGACATCCCCTTCTGGTAAGGACACAGTTACAGTGTACGAGTTTTTCACCCCATCTTCCCCTGTGTCCAGACCTTCAACTTGACCCTGGTTGTTTACTGTCAGGACGACAGAGTCAGAGCTGAGACCAGCAGCAGCCAAGAGACCAGACAAACCCCCTATGTCTGTGCCATTAGTATCCTTCTCATACTTGATGCTATCTGTCAAGCCCATTGGATCACCAGCAACTCCCAACTGTTCAATATCTCCAATGGTAACAGTGTAGTTGGCATTGTCTCCATATCTGGATGTTGCCCCATCTGTGCTGTGGTCAAACTTAGAGAGGGATGAAGTGTTCTGAGATGAGCTGCTGTCCTGCTCTCTCCCCTCCTCGTCAGTGTCTGACACTATTTCCCCAGCAGCATGACGGGCCTCTCTTCTCTCTTCTTGCAACTCTTTAAATGTTTTTCTTTTTCTGGGGCCTGTCTTGGGCTCATCACTCTTTAGCCCCATCTTGACAGCTTTTATGTGAGTTTTTGCATTTTGTAGATCTTTAAGTGTCACATGTTGTCCCACTGCATTTTTGATTTGATAAGTAGGAACACCCATTTCCATCAGAGTCCCTACCATCTTTCTTTCTTCTCTAGTCATCCTTCTGACTTCTGGATAAGAATTATATATCTCTTCTGTGCATGGGTGACTATGAATATGATACGAGTCTCTGATAATGAGATAATTTTCTTTGCGGCAAGCACTAACACTTATGTAAGCTTTGCAGTTGATCTTGTAACTCCTAAGAAAGAAAATATTACTTTATGTATTTTCAAAATAAATATTAAATAATTTATCAAAATATGGTATGCCTATACACAATGTAGTTTATATTAAGAAAATGTTAAGTTGAAAACTCAAACCTTTGTTTTGGCCTTAGACCTGAGCTCAAGCTTTTGTATGACCCATAATGTTTACAGATTAGAATGATTGAAGCATATTTTAAGTGGATATCAAAGTATGGCTTTTTCTTGAGAAAATTGTTAGCTTGTTCAACAGTCTTTGCATTACTTATGTTGAATATAACTTTGTTTTCTTTACAATGAGCATCTAGAGCTTCTTTGAACTCAGCCCACGTGTTGTAAATTTGTCCTGGTTCCATCCTCAGAGACATGTTTTTCCTAGTGAATAAAGAAAAAAAAAGAAATTTTAGTTTTATCATATACAACAGAGTAAAAATATTAGTTAGGAAAGAACTTTATTATAGAATCAGCCTAAATACAAAATATATAAATATCGTCAATGTGATGACAGTCACATGCTGCAAATGATTTTGGTTGCTTCTATAGTTATAGACTAGAGTCTAAGTCTAGAATAGATGGTAGAGATTTTAACAAGTGTACTGTGAGTGTAATATCTGGTTACTCATAAATAGTAAATAGGGTAGAGAAAATTTACTGAAAAAATAAAATCTATCAGCCATGACTCAGGGCTGTTATAGGACTACTAAAAAATTAAATAGCTTTAATAAAAAAAATAGACCATATCAATTATCATTTAATCCAAATCCTTATAAAATAGGCCTACATGTCAAATGATCATTAAAATAATTAAATTATGACATATAGATAGTATGATATAGAATTTAGCTACTAGGGTTAGTGCTGTTAGCGCAGCTAGTTAGCTGGATCTACATACTACATAGTTCACATAGACATCTAGGAATTAACAAATATTATATTAATTTTAATTTGATATTGAAATCTGTGTGTGTAGTGTAGCAGAGTGTCCCATAACTATTAAAAATTAACTAGTCTAGTACTAGATCTATTTATTGTCTAACATTGTGAATACATAAGTGATGATAAGCAGTTATTATTCTTAGTTAGATAAGCGTTTCCAAAATAGAGCGCATCTGAAATAAGTAATAAGTAATAACTTAAAGAATTCTAGATCTAGATCTAAGAAACAACTTTTGTTGTGCCCGTGTGTGTAGCCGCCATCTTACCCTCTAAAATTATAAATTCTAACGATACCCAATTTATTAACGCATTAATACATATTTATCAAGATGACAGCTTAAAGTAAATTGAAAATAGCTAGATTTATAAATATTTACTTAAATAAATTTACTATTGTAATTTTACTTTAAGCAAGACACATTTTTCGTCTCACAAAGATTGTTAGCACAACTAGCTTTCACTGCTTAAATGTACACCGCGCATGCGTGAACAGGATTACAATTATTTTTTCGAATCTTAATTTTCGATATCTGATTACTTTTGTTATCATTATTGTAAACGGAATTTAGAATCACCGCCCCCCCCCCCCCCTCCAAAAAAGGTTCTCTCTAATAAATAAAATAAATAAAGAGAGACTGCAATATAGTCTATATCTACTTTAATTTTAATAAACATAACGTTCTATCTAGATTTAGATCTCTTAACTTGGTTGCAAGCGGGGAGACTAGTGAAAATAATTAAATATAAATATACATTTGCTAAAAAAATAAAGAAGGTGGGGGGTGGTAATTTATCAAATTTATTTTTACAGATCCACCCCAGCATCATGGCTAAAAAAATGTTGCCGTACATCTCACCATTACTATACAAGAATTTAATTTCTTAATTTCACCATGTGTGTGTAATATAAGAAATGTTAAGGAAAGCTAACTAAACTTTAAAGCTTGTTATATATATATGATTGTGTGTATACATGCATATTTGTAGCCTATATAAAAAATATACCTCCCACTCATACTATAAGATATTTTTAACCCACATGGTTATAGTCATTAGTATTATAACCATAACCCCTACATAGTTCTAAACTTTAAACCCTCTAAATGTCTGTAGTCCAACAGTTTTGAAACTAAGAATAAAAAATGATGGGATAGCCAATATATTGCAAAGTATAGTTTAACCTGTTTTTCTGGAGTCTTAAGTGTATTTTTATGACCAACAAATTTACTTTTCAATAGCTGTATGTTTTTATTCATATGGACCATGTAATTTCTATAAAACTTTTGCCACTATCTAGTCCGCACGTCACCAGGGAAAGACACTCCTGCGAAGGTTGAAATCAACACGTTTGAGACGTCATTAATTAACTACCCCAAAAGTATTACGGCTATGGAGCCTACAGGGAAACAATATAATACTGGTCACAAGTGTATGTAATGTTATATTGGTAGATACCTTATAATATTGGTAGCACTGGAGTTCAAGGCTTTTAAATGAAAATACTGTCTGCCTCATGTAGATGTTTGCTAAAGAACACAATGATGACTTCATGCTTTAACTTGCAAGTAAATGATTTAAGTAAATATATTATACTTAAAATTTGATGGCTTAAAACCAGACAACTTAAGAATTGGTAATTTAAAAACAACAACCCACATCTGACAGAATTGGTGTCTTTTTAAAATTTACTTTATTCATTGCACATTAGCCATAACATCATAATTTAATTAAGCTTTTAAAACTCTTTGAAAGTTATAAGCGAAAGTTTTATATCAGCATATAATAGAGGGTTTCCTAACAAATAGAACAATACAATTCATACTTTTTAAAAAAGACCAGAAAATGTTTCTACCTAAATATAACAAAAAGTTTCAAATGGTGGGTGTGCTGATATTTTTTCAAATAGAAAGCATATATTAAAAAATGTAAAATAGTTTAAAAAATTGATTCACATAAAACTGAAAAGCAGTGGTGTTACAAGAAATTGGAATGGATGAAAATGGAATAGTAAATTAACTAAATATTTTTCTAAAATTTGGCTTCAACTTAAAAAAAAGTCTGACCAAAGACATGCTGCTACACCCACTGTGTGCAATGGTGTCATGTCTGTTGCTCCTGATGTGATGTTTATTATTTTCATTCTTTGCTATTTAATCACCTACAATAACTTGTGTTGGTAATATTTGTTTATTTGTTGTGGAGGTGAAGTTGCATAGACTACCTACAAAAAATAATCTTTTTTTTGTAGTACAGCCAATTCAAACATTAAAGCATAAAAAGTAAAAAAGGGTAAGTATTAAACCGTAACTCAAAGACCCATACGTCTGACGCACAAATTATATCAGTTCACACTTAAGTATAAACTAATTTAACTTAGAGAAAAAGTATACAATTTTCTAAAAACATGTAGATAATGCAATGAACATGGGGGGTCTTTGTATACATAGACAAAATTAGTTAAAATTTCTTTTTGATTTGAAACAATTAAGTTCATTGCTAAAAAGTGTTTGCATTTTTTTAGAAAAAAAAATTGTTTTTAATTTTAAAACCTAAGCATGTGGAAGTAAATACTAACAATAGTTTACAATAGATACAAATATCATTCTATCAATGGCCAAAAACAACACAGAATTATAGTAAAAACACATAAATCATTTGAAAATGTTAACAATAAAGAATTTCACACATCTCTTCAAATGTCTACACACATGCTAAATCATTAATTGACCTGAGTGCATTAAAAAATATTTTATTAACCACATATCTCCTGATGATATGTTAAAAAAGTACCTGAAAGAACATGTCAAAATACTGAAAAGGTAAGTGAATTTGTGTGTTTGTATCCAGTGTCAAAAAACCTCATGCAGCTGTTTTATTTTGTTTCTAGTTTTGAGCGAAGTAAGCTTTCTGTTGTAGTCATATTTTATACATATAACTAAATAACTGTACATAAAATAAATTAATAAGAAATTATAAATTGTATAATTTTTATACTGCTGATTGGTAATACTCAATAATAATTTTAATATACAATTAACAACCTTTAAAACAGTTATACATTGTCTTTCTTTTGACGTGCTAATTAAATAACTGTTTCTGCATGATTGTTGCCAAGGGAAATGAATTCCAAATAGCTATTTAAAAAGTATTTCAAATTTTGATGGCAATGAAAAATTATACATTATTATTATATATGAATCCAATGTACCGGCATCTGAATTCCAAGGAGGAGTATGCAAACACCAACCTTCAGTAGCTTTGTAACCACTGTGACTTCTAGCTACTCTGGGTTATTGCCTCCTGGGCCAGTTTTTTCAAATCAGGAACATTTTTAATTCTAAAATCCAACAGTTCTTGACCCATGGCTTTTCCCTAAAATTGAATTTTAAAAAAATCATAAAATTTCAATAACAACAAAGAAAGAAAACATAAAAAACAACAACAACCAGAGAACTATGCCCTTACCTGTGGGTCACTGCGTAGTGATGCTATTCCACCCCCACCAAGAGAGCCCTTTAATATGAAGTTTAAGCCACCAACACCAGGCACATCAAACCTGATTATAAGATTTAGAAATAATATATCCAACATACAGCTCCAAAAATATTATGGAACAGAAGTTAAAATATAAAACCACTGGCACAGTTAAGTACTTTATAAAAAGAATTCTCTTGAATTTTACCTTAAAACTTTGTCCTTGACTGGTACTGCTGAAGTGCTGCTTTTAAAATAGTGGGTGAAAAATGATTCAACAGCCTCAGCTGTTAACTGTGCTCTGATAAATGGCAGATACACGGGATGTCTGGCTATCACACCTACAACATAATTTGTCAAACAAGTTGACTATTGACAGAGGAACATTTGAGAGCTCAAACTAATTATTCCTCAACAAATAAGCTGAAGTGTTTCAAACTAAATGAGCCTCACCAATGTTGCAGTCGTTTCCTTTATCACCAGAACGAGTAAATGCTAGATCCTCCAGCCTGAACTCAAAACTTCCAGTAGGAAGCTCCACGTCATTACATACTTTGTTTTCACCATTGCCGTTTCTGTCACTGGCAGGGTATGCTTGGGTTAAGTACTCAGCAGTGGGGACACTGGGCTGGTTGTAGTTGACCACCTCACCATCCATTTCAATGGTTATCTAGTTCATGGTCAACAGGACAGAAATAACAAATGCAAAATGTTGCTACATGAAAAATATCAACATGACAGATTTGAAAAAAAAACTGATATGCTCAAGGTTGGCCAAGTTAAAAGATACATTTACCTTAAAATTATTGCGAGGATGAAGAAATGAAAATAATTTAAGCACTGGAGATCTGTGGAAGAAAACATAAATAAATAACAGAAATGCCTGACCAAATTAACAAACACATCTAATATTGAAACAATAAAAATCATGTTTGAATATATTCAATGACAAATATTAAAAATTTTAGCCTAACAAACATAACTAGACATTCTTACATTTTTGGTCGACCTCCAATGATCCCACATAACCCAGGGGCTGAAATGAAGTTTTGTTTAAGTTTTACTGAAGAAAAAAAACAACAAAACAACAATGCATGACAAAAACAAAGTTTTAATCTGTGAAAACTTACCCATGCCAGTTCCAGCAGGGGCTATTTCTCTAGTAAAAAATTCCAGAGCTTTTTTGTCCTTGTGAGTCACAGCTAGCCAAAGCAGAACATCCTTGGGACCCAGCTACAAACACAACATTCATTTCACTATAGGGCCAACTCAACATTCTGGGCTTAGGACCCAGCTACAAACACAACATTCATTTCACTATAGGGCCAACTCAACATTCTGGGCTTAGGACCCAGCTACAAACACAACATTCATTTCACTATAGGGCCAACTCAACATTCTGGGCTTAGGACCCAGCTACAAACACAACATTCATTTCACTATAGGGCCAACTCAACATTCTGGGCTTAGGACCCAGCCACAAACACATTTACAGAGGCCAAAACATTCTGGGGCATATAATTAAAATAAAAAAAAAACAATTAAACTGTAATAGATGGCTAAACAATAAATAACTAACTTACAGTACTTGACGTAAAACTTCTTTCACCCTCAGATCTACGATCTCGACCTATGACCTCAGTATGCACAGCTGTAAAGTCATCCATATTTAACTGATGAAATATTCGTCGACATCTAACAATATAAAAAGTATCCCAATTTTCAATAATCATAACTCCGTTGACAGCTTACATTAAATATTTAAAACTTTTTTCAGCAGGAAATAAAACTCAACAGAAACAGCCTGCACCGATAAAGTTTTATAAGAACTTACCTAGTGAGTACAGATTTGGCAGTTTTCTCAGCTTTTTCAGTGGCCCTAGGGCCCCCAACAACACAAGCCGCTGTTGATCTGTAGCCTGCAGCATATGTGGCACTAACCTGCAACCCAAATTCATCTCTTGATCATAGCGTTTGTACACAGAATTTTGTAGTGTTTATTTTGGAGCCCTAACATACATCTCTTTCATAAACAAGGTTAAAAAATTTTATATATTAAATACATTTTTAAAAATTAGTCATGTTATAAATACCTTCAAGGTAAAAAGAAAATATTTAGCTGAGAAGTATTAATGAAATTAAAAATTTGTTACCTTGTATTCGCCAGATGGAGGGTTTCCCCTGGCCCCGTTCACATAGACCATGTTGTTGGGCAGCTCATCAATCTCAACCTGGGTGAAGTCACAGACCACATCAGGCAGGAAATACTGAGCTGGGTCACCTATCTCGTACAGGAGCTGCTCACTCACTGTCCCTCTGTTCACCAGCCCCCCTGTCTTCTGTGGTTTGCTGACTGTAAAGTTGCCATCTGACCCAACGGCTACCACAGGAAAGCCAATATGGTCCCTGTTATATAAATAAAATGACAATCATGAAAATGCTTTAAATTCATTAACATAAGTTAATTTACTTCTTTTTTTTTACACTTCACATTTAATGATGAATTACTTTGTCAAAGTTCTATTCACTGAAATGACATTACCATTCCTCCACTAAATGCCAGTCAGTAAAGATGCCCCCAGTGACCTGAGCTCCACATTCTATCAGGTGCCCTGCCAGGCTAAAAAAAGTATGAATAAAACTTAAATGTCACTTGTAAAACACAGCTAATAAAATATGAACATGTTTACAAATAAAATATCTTAACATCACAAAACTACAGTAGTTTCTGTTTTCAGTTTAGTGTAAGACACTGATAAAAATGTGTAACTATTTGTTTAAGAAACATTTTAGTTTCATATAGAAACATCTTTTGTGACTCAATACACAACAGAATTCTAGTAACCATTTTTAAAACCATTGTTGCTGAACTTGAATGTGATGTTTACCTGCCAGCAGCCAGCAAGTCAAACTGATCCATGGTCCAGCCAAACTGTAGGTGAATAAAGTGTGAGGTTAAGTGTACAATTAATGGAAGTGATGTTGACAGTAACATAACATGGGGTAAGGGAAAAGAATATCAACTCTATCAGGCCTGAACTATAACAAACAATGGAATGCTTCATCAAGCTAATAATGAAAGAAGTTGACTAACTTCATGTATGAGTGGTGCCAACACCAGAGCACTATCAGCACACCTTCCTGTTATCACAATATCTGCGCCCATTGACAAAGCCTGTGCTATAGGACCAGCCCTGGGTGATAAGTTTTAAATAAGGTAACATTGTTCAATGTGGTTCTGCACAATATGTTAAAGGTGATATTTGATAACAGGTACAAATATAAAGCTATTTCTTTTTAATAGACACTATGATTACCCCAAATAAGCATTCATACTATGAAGCTGTTCTGGAAATGATTCACCTGAAGACATTTCGTTGATTCCTAACCTTTGCAGTTCTTTTACCTTAAAAATAAAAAAAACATCATCCATTATTAATATAAACAAAAAAATGTAGCAAAAAAAAAAGCATATTTTAGTTTTAAAAAAAAATTAAACATGCATACATAAAACAATGCCTAAGACAAGGGTGTTCAAATTAAAAACAAATTGGTAAAGTTTTAGAACCTGTGGCATCAGATCATCTCCCTTGACAACAGCAATCTTAAGCTTAACATCTTCAGCAGCACAAATCTTGCGCAAGGCTTCTGCACATCCTGAAGGGTTGATGCCTCCAGCATTACTTATCAACTTAACTCCTGGAAATCAAGCATACTGTTAAATGTTAGCAATATTTTAGACTGATAAGGAAAAATAAAAATAATTTATGGGCTCACACTTAAACTAAATGTCTTAAAATAAACAATGCACTAGGCATTCAGTAGTAAATAAATAACTACTCTACAACACTGATTTGGTTAATGTTAAGATAATAATTTGATGGACAAACCTCTCTTCTTGATATCTTTTATAAAGGGTGCAACACTGACTTGGACAAAGTCTGGAGCATAGCCCATTTCCTACAAGTATTGAAGTAAAAATTTATTTCTATTTTATAAAATGTTACTTTTACCAAATGCAAAACGCTTTTTTTTAAAAATTAATAAGTAAGACAAAGTCCACCCCAGGTGCTTTTAAGAAAATATATTGACCAAGAGTTCAGCCCAGGCAGCAATACAGGATAAAGTTGAACTCTACTCCATCTGCCCCATGTGTCTTGGGCACGAAAGGGAAAAGATGAAGATAACTTATAACAGAACCTTTATCAAAATAAATTGGCCAAAATTGAATGTTTAAATTTAAAGAAAATTTGAACAACTTAATAATCTTAACTTTATTCTTCCTATCTACTTAAATAATATTTATTAGGCCTAAATATAAAACAAAGAATATAATAAACTCTTACTGGTGACTTTCTTCTGCCTGCAGTCAGCAATGACATAGTAATTTCAGACAAATAGTCAAACACTATGTAGTTTAACTTGGCTCCATAAATAAGTTGTGGTGCTGCAGAAATTAATATAATATAATAGGCCTATTAACTTTAATTTAGATATTAGATAAATTAGATTTGGATAAATTGCACACATCTTACCTAAAAATGAAATATTGAAAATTAAAAAAAAAAAGAAAACAGTAAGTCTGAGTAAGCCTACCTCAGTATTGCACAAATGAGAAAACAAGATGCAACAATTAATTAGGCCTAATAAACTTTAAATAGTTGTCATAGAAAATACTAATACTAATTACAACATTATAAGACTAAAAATTAATTTATTAAAATGCATTAAAAAACAACAAATAATAGATCTAGGCCTATACTTAGACTATACTAGTATTATACTAGTATACTTGACCCAGGGGCATAGCGAGGGGGGCGGGGGGGTGACACCAAGGCAAAAAATAGCAAAATATATAGAGAAAAACTTGGGGGGGGGGGGTGCAAATCGAAAGTTTCAGGGGGGGGTGGGTGTAAATCGAAAACTTGAAAGTTTGTCCCTGGGAAGGGTCGCTATGCCTCTGGGGGGTGACACCATTACGTGCCGCACCGGGTGACACCCGACCTCGCTACGCCACTGACTTGACCAAAAAATGACAGGTTTACACAACCAACACTAACACATTCTCATTCAAAGTTGCGTGCATGATGGCATGTATGTGGCCTGACAGATTTAAATAGATTGTTTATATTATTGTTTTGAGTTTATCTAGATCTAGTCCTAGCTATTAGACCTAGCTAGTCTAACAGTAACAAAACTTGAAAACTAACAAAAACAATTAAACAACAGATCAACAGTACAGAGTAGTACAGACTACAGACTAACAACTAACATTTAACAAACAGCGGAGTTTATCAGTGGAAAAAAAAAACTTCACGAACCAGCGCAAGCTGTATCACCCCAAAATCCACTAGCGCACCCAATTTTAACAACTTTGCCTTTTAGAATATGATCGTGAATCGTTCTCGAATTAATATAAAATTTCCCTTTATATTTTAATAGGCTGCTGATAAATGCATAGGAAAATTTACGGCAACCTAGCAAACGTAAACATTGAACCCCAGCCATGTTTTTAAAGATGGGCCAGATTTTTCAAGCTTAAGCAGCATTCTTTATCTTGTATCTAATATATTATCAATACATAACCGCTAATGATAAATTGTACTGCGTTTAATCAGCAGATAGTTTTTAACTTGGAAAATACTATTATCGAAAATAATTGCAAGAAAAATGTATTGATTTTACATTATCTTTACGTTTTCTTTTAAAGCAAACTTAGTCAAAACTAATCTTTGCAACTCACACGCATGCGTAGTCACATGACTTTTTAACCATTGTAGACAATATGGAGGTTGATGTGTTATAAATAATACGGAAACATGATAAATAGTCGTTTTCAAGCGTTAAAAATGATTTAGTTTTTAATTGTAACATACTACGTTTTTAATATTCATCTGCTTAATAAAATGACGGATAAAATGGCAACGGAAACCGTGTATGGTACGAATGAGGAGAGTCATGTTATGTCTGAAAAAGTTCAGTCTCTTGCTGCCACGGTTTATAAAGAATTTGAGAAAGTAATCAAACGATACGATGAAGATGTTGTTAAGGACCTAATGCCGTTGGTTGTAGGTATTCTTGAATCTCTGGATGCAGCATTCACTGAAAAACAAGAATTAGATGTGGAAATCGAATTGCTAAGAGAAGATAACGAACAGCTTTTGACACAGTATGAACGAGAAAAACAGCTAAGAAAAGGGGCAGAGCAGGTAAAAATTGATAATTCATAAAAATAAAATGAGTCTATTCTAGCTAGAGTCTACACTTAGACTCTAGTTGAAGTAAAACTAGTTCTCGTGTAGTTGCAGGAGTTTATTTGTAAGTTTGTTATATTATTGTAATCAGGTATCTGTTTGTAAGTGGGGGGGGGGGGATTCTTGCTCTTTCTCAGTGAAAAGTTTCTGGGATGAATGAAAAGCTGAAAGCACATCTAGTTACTCTTGTACTCTTGTTGTTGCTAGACTTCATTACTTTAATGAGGTACTATTAAAAAGTTTATGGCCTTCCTTTTTTAAACCAGGTTCTATATCTCTAGGTTATTCACATTAATTTAATTGGATGTTGCTTTTGTCTACAATCGGTCGGAAAAATCATTTTAATTAGTAATATTAGACCAAACCCTGACTCGTGTCTTTATCGATGCAAGTTCCATGTTGCAATTTCTTTAGCAGTTGATTTGTGATAAGCAACCATAGGCCTTTTCTATTTTATCCCACTTGTTTTAGTCTGACTAAAGTTAAATACGTTTTAAAGTCATAAAGAAAACGGTAGCTTTGTTTTTAAGATCTGTCAAAAGATTTTTTAATACAATTCTTTTTAATTCCAGAAATTTCTTGAGATGGAAGACAACATAGAGGGAGTAAAGAAAGAGCTAGTAGACAAAGTAGAAACTCTTGAATCCATCATTCGAATGTCAGAAATAAAATCAAAGAATACTGCTGATCATGGTAGGCTGTGTTTTTTGTGAAAATATATTTATTTAAAATCTAAAAACCTTTATTATATTTGGGTTAGTGTCATGTTTGTGATCATGTGACACTGCCCACACAGCTTCACAAAATCAGATTATATATTTTCACACTCTTACATAACTATGTAATAGACTTTCTCAAAGAGGAACTTTAAATTATACTTATTCTTAGACAAATATTTATTTTACACACTCTAATATTTCTAATAATCCAATTATTAGTCACCCGTTTGGAAGAAAAAGAACAGGAACAAAAGAATGAATACAACAAGCTACATGAACGTTACACTGAGGTAATTATGTTATACTTAAGTAAAGCTTGTTAACAGTACATTATTTTTACTCTGACAATAGTTAATGTTTGCCTTTGTAATAGTGAGAATTTGTTTACATTTCTTTGTTAATGTTAAACTATTAAAGCTACTCTTTTTTAGCTGTGCAGCAACACATCAGGTGTGTGCATCAGGTTTTTTTCTCTTTCTTTTTCAGTTATTTAGAACTCACATGGACTATATGGAGCGCACAAAGATTTTAATGGGTACAGATAAACTTTCAGATCTCACTGGCATGACTGCTCGGGCTAAGTATGTTGACTTTTGAAATTATTAGTCTTTTGTTTGTGTTTGACACACAGTTTTGTTTTTATTTCTTTTTTTTTAACGTGTGCAGTTAAGGTGTGTACTAAAATGTGTCTTATGTTTACAGTAAAGGTTTAAACCTACCTGGTTTGAGGCCCATCAGTGTTGCTTATGGTGGGATAATGGAGTTCCATAACCGTCATGAAAGCAGCCCAATGAGTTTTGATACAGGAACACCTCACAGTGCAGCTAATGTTAGCTTAAAGAGTGAATTGGATGCACAAACACCAAAGAAGATTGAGAGTCTAGACAAAGAGCAGTTGACAGATAGCATTAATGTTACTGAGCAAGCCACTGCCACAAGTGAGTCCTTCGTTTTTCCTACCAATTTTTTTGTCCCTTTATTTAAATTTGTAGAGACATGAGAAATAAGTACTGTATGCAACCTAGTAAAGGTGGGGGTTTGTTTACTATTCAGCTACCATAAATTAAAAGATTTTTTTTGAGAATACTTTGGTAGTTTTACTCAACTATCAATAAGTTTCTTATTTGTAGTCTATTTAATGAAATGACTATAGATATTTATTTTCATAATATTTAACTTCCATTGAACATTAAAAAAAATAATTAGAACAATTTACGCAAGTGTTCAGTCAAAGAATTATCAACATGCTAAACAATATTCATAGTTTCATAAATATATTGTTTTGTTTATAAAAATGTGGTGCTTGTTTTAAAGACACTTGTCCTTTTATCAGCTTTTTAAAATTACCTTAGTGTAGTGCATGCTATATGTATTGTATGTACATTTTAGTGTTTACACTTTTTCATTCGCTCAAATATTATAACACCAAAAACTCATAGTTTGGTAAATGTTGTTTGTGAATAATTCAAAAGTTTCATTAAGATACTATCTCTAGTCCGAAAATTGAAAAACTTTTTTAATTCTAAATTTTATAATTTGAACAAAATTGTAAAGATAAATTACTAGATTACAAAAAACTTAATTTAGAGTTTTAAGTAGTTAGCAGTGATCAAACAGTGGAGTTTATTTAATTAACATCAACTCCTAGATATTTTATTTTATTGATACTTCATTATTAGTTTTGCTTTGCCTATTTACATAGCTATATCCCTTTTGTTTAATGCTAGTTTTCCCTTTTTTGTTGCATTTTTTATTTCATTACCACTTGGATCTTTGTGTTGACCCTCATCACCCCTTTGATGTGTGCCCTGTTACCACTATGAAGAGCATAGTAAACAAGTGGTCCTTGTATCTCCAGCAAGTATATCTGAGCCTAAACCCTCGCATACTCAAGATACAGAGGGTTATGTTGAATCTGTGATAGACACTAATAGCACTAGTCATGTTTTAAAAGCAAATGAATCCAATATAGAATCACCCTTGCCAGTTATCATGAGGCGCCACAAAAGTGAATTAGAGGAGGATAATAGTTTTGATTACACTTTAAGCCTTGAGGATTATCATATGTCAGGTATGTTTTACATACAATCAATCAAAAGTTGCTCAGATCTCTTCTTTTTGATGCAGTTGAGTTAATGTTTTAGAATGTTTTAATTTCAAAGTTGTTTTTAACTTTTCCTTTGTAAACTTTGATGAGTACTTCACAGTACATCACCATGGAACTAAGCCTGCAGTTGATTTAAAAATATTTAGCAGTTTAAGAAATAATTGTCATTTCCTGCAAACACCCTAACTTGAAGAAAAATTGATGTCTTTTATTTATACTAATCTTCATGGACTAACACAAGTGTTTTTATTCTGGTGAATTTGCATTTAGTATGGTGTACAGTTTTTCCAAAAAAGTAGTTGTGTTTACAAAATGCTTTGTAGAATTAGAGAATTGCATGCTGATGAATATTGTGAAAACCCTCTTGTCAGTTTTAATTTCACATGGTTGTGGCTTGTTCTTGAAGCACTAAATATTTGATGTCAGCACAATAACCCGTTTTGTTATAAGGATAGCTTCTAACTTTGTTTTATCTTTCCATATCATTTACTTGCAACTTCATCACATCTTCAATTGTGGGGCTTCTTTATTCATCCTTTCTGGTAAGTTTTTTTACAAATGCACACCCTTACTTTAATTTTAAATTGATCAAATATTTGATGCAGGTCACTGAAGTTTTTTATACTACCATCTGAAAATGTTCTTAGTTTCGCAGTTGTTTCTGCTTGATGAAGTCTTTAAATACCAAATTGTTACCATAGTTCAGTAAATTAGTAGTAATTATGAAGTAGAACTGGATTTTTACATGATTATGAAGATGAAAATTCTATTATTCCCAATACTATTAACCCTAGTGTACCTCTTCCTTTTGAAAGCTTGCATAGCTTAAAAAATAGATGTATCCTTGTATAAGCTATTACTGCTTATCTCTTTTTCAAATAGTTTACACTTAAATAGTAAATGTTTTTAAATTATATAAGTTTAGAATTGAACACAAATGTTTGGATACCATTAATTAGATTTACATAAATCTACATCTACCTGTGATGACACTCCCTTATAAAAAATGCAAACCTCTTCTGTTCTTTTTTAACTATCAAATTCTTTGTTTATGTTTTAACACTCAATAATTATGACATAAATTGTTAAGTGGAATCAACGGAATTAGTGGTTTAACGATTTAAAAAAATATCTTTGTGTTTTGTTCTAATTTAAAAATGCCCTTAAATATTTAGAACTGAACCTAACATTGGCAGAAATAGTAGCCACAACACCAGAGCTTGAAGAATCTCAAGACATCATTGCATCTCAGGGCACCCTCAGCAAACGCAAGTCTGGGTCAGTTCTTTGTGCACTCAGAAAGTGCTTGTTGTCAGTTTAGTTTCAATTTTCTAATGTAAATTTTGTAATGAGTGTCAGATAGCAGTAAATAACAACAAGGAAAGATTCCAGTAATAAGCGCATCTTTTTAGGCTTATTATGGCCAAGTGGAAGGCTGACATGCAAACCTCAACTAAAACATTTATCTCCAAATTAATCAGTGCTAAAAGTAACATTAAATAATGACATTTTGAATGCAATGGTGATTTATATTTCTCTTTCCCTAATCTGTCTCTTGTTTCATTGGACAGGCGAAATGACAACTCCATATTTGATGAGTTTTCAGAACAGGATGCAAACATTGCAGAGGTTGACTTTGGTGCTGACATAACAGGTAACTTTAACTCCAGTGCTGCAATGATATACAATTATGTATCAATTAAATTGGGAATCATTACATTATTTTTAATTTTATTGCTTTTTCCAGTAAATATAAATCCTCCTAAAGCTTTAATCATGATTTTAATTTTGAAGAGCTCTTACTAAAAACTAATCACAAAGAACCACACTCCATATTGCTTAATACCAATACCATAAAATAAAGGCCAAACTTGATAAGCCAGCAAGAAGTAGCTTAGTTTTTGTCTGGGGTGGTCTTTAAGCCAATGTTGAGATTTGTTTGTGTGCATTTTCTAGGCCACACTAACTCTTGGTTCTTGGTGCATGACAAAGGGAATGAGCCAGGTTTTACAATACATAACTTTGTGTTTATTTGTTTTGTATTGAAAAGTTATGTTTGGATTGTTGGGTTGAAGTTTTAGAGTTTAAAGATTGTAATTGTGAAGATATGGATACACCATATTGATTACATTTCATTAACAAACGCAATAACCCATATTACTCTAGGGAGGGCAGTTAACCCAGGGGAATATGCCTCTTCAGGTAACACGGCCTGTTACAGATGTCACTATCACTGGTTTTTGTTTCTCTGTGTTGATATCTCAGCTATACCTTCACATTGTGTTGTTGATATCTCAGCTATACCTTCACATTGTGTTGTTATCTCAGCTATAACTTCACATTGTGTTGTCAATAGCTCAGCTATAACTTCACATTTTCTTGTTAATATCTCAGTTATAACTTCACATTGTGTTGGCAATAGCTCAGCTATAACTTCACATTGTGTTGTTGATATCTCAGCTATAACTTCACATTGTGTTGTTGATAGCGCAGCTATAACTTCACATTGTGTTGTTGATAGCCCAGCTATAACTAGACATTGTGTTGTTGATATCTCAGCTATAACTTCACATTGTGTTGTTGATATCTCAGCTATAACTTCACATTGTGTTAACCTGCTCTAGTGTTGTGATGATGTTTTTACACTTTTAAAAATTAGTTTCACAGTTGATGTTTTTTTTCCAAATGTTTACCGAACTCAAATTAGTTCATTAGAATAATTAAATCATTATTTTCAAGAATTTATTTTGATCTCTTGTTGAAGAAAACAAACAACTAACTTGACAGTAGTTTAGAATCATTCTAGTCTGTTTAATTGTCTAAACCTCTTACATGTGCATGTTTGTAATGTTTGTTGCATGCCAACATTCTTCCTTTTCTATTTATTTTGATTATTACACACAGTTACAGTTGAGTATTGTTTGAATAGAAAACACCTCCATAAAATCTGTGGAAAAAATGTATGAGATAACAAAATTAAAGTTTAATGGAAATATTAACAGAAGCCTGCAGGGTTCAAAACAATACACTTCCTATAATGTAATGGTAGCCTAATATCTAGATTAAATGTTGACTAATATCTTTGTCATATTTAAATAACTAAGTTAATAAAGGCTGTAACATTATGTAAACTGTACTTTAATGACAATTATTTATGAACATGAAAGACAAAATAAAAAAAACTTCCTTATTTGTCACCACGTAGTAATGTTTGAAGGAGACAAGATGAATGTTGCTCATGCTTTCATTGTGATTGTGGTAGAGTAGCCCAGATCACTGGATTTATACATATTTCCTTACTTCCCTGCACCTACTATGGCAGATACTTTTAGTGGTTGTAAGGAGTAGTTGACTTTGTCAATTTCTTTTTTGAGCAATGGCCATTAAAAAAGGGGGATAACTAGGAATCTTAAAAGTTTCTGCAGTATATATAGTGCACATTTTTGTTTTGTTATCCCTCAGCAAGGCTCTTGGTGTTGAGGACCAAACAACTTTCACCAATACCAAATAATACTCTCAATATTGACAAATAAGCTACAAAATTCTCACTATTGAAATTTAGATACAAGGCATCATTTTCTACTTAAATTACAAATATGAACTTCCCAGTATTTTCAGCCAAGTCACAAAACCATTGGTATTGACATAAAAGTCACAAAGCCATCAGTATTTCCACAACATCATCAGTATATTGACCCATAAATAATACACCTTTCTGCATTGCCACATGCATTGCCTCGTAAGCTTTTAATAAATGTGCACTGAGCATCATGCATAGGGGAGTCCACAAACTTTCTTGTTGTGTGTAATTTTTGAAGTGTTGTTAAAGCACCACAGTCTATCTGAAAAAGTGATACACACTACACATCTGTTAGCACACACAGAAAGCACTGACAGCCTTGCTGCATTTCTGTTGCTTGTATGTTATGTGCATGTCATCGTTGTTGTCATCTTGCAGATAGTGACGAGCATGAGGAAAATGAGGAGGAGAAAGAGGACGAGGAGAATGATAAAGATTCTGGTATGAGTTGTCCTCCCATCAAGTGTTTGCATCTGCTTTTTCATTCAGTTATTTATCATCATACATCACATGCATATTTGCATCATTTTGCATTTTTGGATGTTTTCTTAATTTGACTTGCATCTTCTTCTATGAAAGCTTTTAATTACTCAAAGAAATGTAACTTCAGAACTACTGCTCAAAAAATGGTGCAACTTTTAAACCTGCAATTAAATTTTTAAAGTGTATTGTTTGATTATTCTGTTATTTTAAATAAATTTAACTGAAACTTCTTGTAAAGATTAATAAAAAATAATAAGATTGACACTTTAAAAAATGAATTATAATTTTTATTTTTCCCATTTCACTCTTCATGACATTCCTCTATTTGTTAATGGAAACAGTTGGGGATAATTTCTTTGGTAAGACTTTTAATTAGTTTATTTAAAGTCATTAAATAGTAATGTCGCACATTAATTAAATATTGTTTTCACAATTGGCATAGTTTGAATTATGTTTAATCTATCTAGTGGATTATTTTGGTTTGGCTGAATTAAAATGTAAGGAATGAGAAATAACAGGTGTCCTTGTGAGAATTGATTGAGTGGAAATGCATAGAGTTCTCCAAGTCCTAGCATGCATAACCTTTCATTTTCTGTCATTGTTTTAGTGCATGCTTGGGAGATGTGATTTATTTTGTTCTATTTGATAGCTTCATTTTAGACACAGTAAGCTAATATACTTATACTCTTGACAGGCATTGGAAAAGAACTGGAGAATTTGATTTCTGAAAACTCAGAACTTCTAGCTACAAAGTAAGTATAAGGAGTCAGGGTTCAACTTAAGTGATTGATTTAATAGAGATGATTTTAACCATTTGATTTGTATTTTTAATGTTCGGACATAGTTTATGAATGAGTGTAAGTTTTTTAAAATTTAAATTATTTTTTACACCTAGGAATGCCCTCAACATTGTGAAAGATGATCTCATCGCCAAAGTGGATGAACTATCTAGGTATTTGTTTGGTTAATAATCTGAGCTTGATCTAGCCCATGATTTCATTATACTTTGATGTTAGAATAAAATGAAGCAGTAAAAGAAATATTTTGCCACTGTGTAAGTTGTCCAACTTTTCCTCCAGTGAACAAGAGATCCTGCGTGAAGAGATCAACTCACTGCAGGCTGTCAAGGGAAGGCTGCAGCTGCGTATTGCCCAGCTAGAGGAGGAGTTGAAGAAAGTCAGAGAAGAAAATGATAAGAGAGACAAGGAGCATACAGAGAAAGGGGAAGAGGAGGTGAAATCATTTTTTAAAGTTATTAGCCTGTTTCTTTTTTAATGTAGATTTTAGAGAATGTTTTTCGCAATCTACAATATTTCATCTTTTTATGCTCAGGACGATGTTCCAATGGCCCAGCGCAAGCGGTTCACTCGTGTGGAGATGGCCAGGGTGCTGATGGAGCGTAACCAGTACAAGGAGAGGCTGATGGAGCTGCAGGAGGCTGTCAGGTGGACTGAGATGATCAGGGCATCCAGGGAACACCCTGGGGAACTACAAACCAAGAAAAAGTCAAGTGTCTGGAACTTGTGAGTACTGCTTTCTTCACTAGATATTCAGTTGTGCCAGTTACTGCTTCGGCATGTTGGCTTACTGCTGTGTGTTGTGCGGTGCTGTTTGTTTTTGTCTGTGTTGAGCGGCATGCAGAGAGTTCTGTCCTCTGTGTCAGTTTGTATCCACTAGAACTTATAACAAGCAAGGTGACACTCACTGTCTGTGCTGAGACTACTAGGCTAGTTGCTACATACTGAGGGCATCTATCAGTGTTTACAGCTGTTTGTTTTTTGGTCGGTGTAACGATGTCTAGATGGCTACTGACACCAGTTTCCTGCGTTTTGTATTTTATGTTTGTATCCAGAGGCTTGTACCTTGACAAAGGTGATAATGCATGTTTTTTCTTTTCTAAACAAATCAGTTTCAGTGAATTGGTGGCACCGTCTCAAAACGCGCCAGTTGCTGCCAGCGCTGTGCAGATACCAGCTCGACATCAGAGTGTTATCCAGGCTGTTCTTAACCCATCACTTCATCCGTCTCACCCCTCCAACCATCACTGGTCACAAGACCCAGATTCTGTAGTTCCCTCCATATCACTGCTGCCTTCTCCCAGCCAGAGTTCTCTCTCATTGAACCATGTGACACTTCTTCCACCCCCAGACACCCCCACCCTTCCTAGTTCTAACCCTGTGTCAGTGCCAGTTATTTTATCAAATGCTCTTCCTAACCTGCCACCAACACCTTCTGGGTGTCCACCCCCGTCCTACTACCCAGACCTGACGTCATTTAACGCAGTCAAGCCAATCATCATGAAACAGGCCACTGTCCCCCCCAAACCCCACAGACCAACGTCCACCTTGCCAGGCATTCACCCTGTCCCAGAGGCCCCTGTCCGTCATTTATAGCACTTGTCAAAATTTAGGATTTTAAAATTGTTTCCTTATTATTTAGACACATCATAATTTTTAATTTCTAGTCTGCATTTTAACAAGATGGTGGGGTACTTTTAAAAATGTTTTAATCAAAACTCTTCTTAAACATGTTTGTGTTGTGCTCTGGAACACAGTATTATAGCATTTCATTTTTTACTATCTGTCTACCTATTTGAAAATGGAGGGTTTGAACTCATGTTCTAAAGTTAGCCAATATATTATGAGGTTTTTGTTTTTATTTTATTTCCATTTTTATCATTGAACTCTCACAGTTGTATGTGTGAATTGATTTTTACCATCCAGGCAGCATAGTCTAATTTTAGTTCAAATGTTTACCAAATAATGAAAATATTTTTGTTTTAGAGTGGTGAAACATTTCATATTGATTACTTTTTAAAACATTTTTAACACTTGTTTAACACAGAGCTGTTATTTGAAATATTTTTGTTATGAAAATCTTAAAAGTAAGTTTTCTATCTATATCCATTCTCCATGGCCAGAGCAAGGTATGAACTTTTTGTACTCCATTTTCTGCCATTTTTAAACAATAGGGAATGTTGTGTACACCAGAGAATTGACTGTTTTAGAATGTGGGTATGTTCTCTGTGGTATGATAAAATGTTGTTAGAAGGTTCTGCCTAGTTGCTTCCCTTTAAACCTAGTTGTAAACTGCTGCTACAGACAGATTCATCTACTGCTCACACAGTTTTTAATGAAATAAAGGTTGGGGGAACACAATTTTAACAAACTTTAAGCCTTCCAGTACTTAGAGCAGAAATATTTGTAAAAGCTGCAACCACAGAATGGCCTTAAATTCTATATCACATTTTAAAATTCTTAATTTATCTTTTGGTCATTTCCCTTACTACTTACACATTCTGATGTCTCATGCTGGTACCAGCATGGAGCTATCTAAGGCAGCTTCCATCTGATCCCTAACACTACCAACACATCTGATCCCTAACACTACCAACACATCTGATCCCTAACACTACCAACACATCTGATCCCTAACACTACCAACACATCTGATCCCTAACAACACTACCAACACATCTGATCCCTAACACTACCAACACATCTGATCCCTAACACTACCAACACATCTGATCCCTAACACTACCAACACATCTGATCCCTAACACTACCAACACATCTGATCCCTACCAACACTACCAACACATCTGATCTCTAACACTACCAACACATCTGATCCCTAACACTACCAACACATCTGATCCCTACCACTACCAACACATCTGATCCCTAACACTACCAACACATCTGATCCCTAACACTACCAACACATCTGATCCCTACCAACACTACCAACACATCTGATCCCTAACACTACCAACACATCTGATCCCTACCAACACTACCAACACATCTGATCCCTACCAACACTACCAACACGTCTGATCCCTAACACTACCAACACATCTGACCCCTAACACTACCAACACATCTGATCCCTAACACTACCAACACATCTGATCCCTAACACTACCAACACATCTGATCCCTAACACTACCAACACATCTGATCCCTAACACTACCAACACATCTGATCCCTACCAACACTACCAACACATCTGATCCCTAACACTACCAACACATCTGATCCCTACCAACACTACCAACACATCTGATCCCTACCAACACTACCAACACATCTGATCCCTAACACTACCAACACATCTGATCTCTAACACTACCAACACATCTGATCCCTAACACTACCAACACATCTGATCCCTAACACTACCAACACATCTGATCCCTAACACTACCAACACATCTGATCCCTAACACTACCAACACATCTGATCCCTAACACTACCAACACATCTGATCCCTAACAACACTACCAACACATCTGATCCCTAACACTACCAACACATCTGATCCCTAACACTACCAACACATCTGATCCCTAACACTACCAACACATCTGATCCCTAACACTACCAACACATCTGATCCCTAACACTACCAACACATCTGATCCCTAACACTACCAACACATCTGATCCCTAACACTACCAACACATCTGATCCCTAACACTACCAACACATCTGATCCCTACCAACACTACCAACACATCTGATCCCTAACACTACCAACACATCTGATCCCTAACACTACCAACACATCTGATCTCTAACACTACCAACACATCTGATCCCTAACACTACCAACACATCTGATCCCTACCAACACTACCAACACATCTGATCCCTACCAACACTACCAACACATCTGATCCCTACCAACACTACCAACACATCTGATCCCTAACACTACCAACACATCTGATCCCTAACACTACCAACACATCTGATCCCTAACACTACCAACACATCTGATCTCTAACACTACCAACACATCTGATCCCTACCAACACTACCAACACATCTGATCTCTAACACTACCAACACATCTGATCTCTAACACTACCAATACATCTGATCCCTAACACTACCAACACATCTGATCCCTAACACTACCAACACATCTGATCCCTAACACTACCAACACATCTGATCCCTAACACTACCAACACATCTGATCCCTACCAACACTACCAACACATCTGATCCCTAACACTACCAACACATCTGATCCCTACCAACACTACCAACACATCTGATCCCTAACACTACCAACACATCTGATCCCTAACACTACCAACACATCTGATCCCTAACACTACCAACACATCTGATCCCTAACACTACCAACACATCTGATCCCTACCACTACCAACACATCTGATCCCTACCAACACTACCAACACATCTGATCCCTACCAACACTACCAACACATCTGATCCCTACCAACACTACCAACACATCTGATCCCTAACACTACCAACACATCTGATCCCTAACACTACCAACACATCTGATCCCTAACACTACCAACACATCTGATCCCTAACACTACCAACACATCTGATCCCTAACACTACCAACACATCTGATCCCTAACACTACCAACACATCTGATCCCTAACAACACTACCAACACATCTGATCCCTAACACTACCAACACATCTGATCCCTAACACTACCAACACATCTGATCCCTAACACTACCAACACATCTGATCCCTAACACTACCAACACATCTGATCCCTAACACTACCAACACATCTGATCCCTAACACTACCAACACATCTGATCCCTAACACTACCAACACATCTGATCCCTAACACTACCAACACATCTGATCCTTAACACTACCAACACATCTGATCCCTAACACTACCAACACATCTGATCCCTAACAACACTACCAACACATCTGATCTCTAACACTACCAACACATCTGACCCCTAACACTACCAACACATCTGATCCCTAACACTACCAACACATCTGATCCCTAACACTACCAACACATCTGATCCCTAACACTACCAACACATCTGATCCCTACCAACACTACCAACACATCTGATCCCTACCAACACTACCAACACATCTGATCCCTAACACTACCAACACATCTGATCCCTAACAACACTACCAACACATCTGATCCCTAACACTACCAACACATCTGATCCCTAACACTACCAACACATCTGATCCCTAACACTACCAACACATCTGATCCCTAACACTACCAACACATCTGATCCCTAACACTACCAACACATCTGATCCCTAACACTACCAACACATCTGATCCCTAACACTACCAACACATCTGATCCCTAACACTACCAACACATCTGATCCCTAACACTACCAACACATCTGATCCCTAACACTACCAACACATCTGATCCCTAACACTACCAACACATCTGATCCCTAACACTACCAACACATCTGATCCCTACCAACACTACCAACACATCTGATCCCTAACACTACCAACACATCTGATCCCTAACACTACCAACACATCTGATCCCTACCAACACTACCAACACATCTGATCCCTACCAACACTACCAACACATCTGATCTCTAACACTACCAACACATCTGATCCCTAACACTACCAACACATCTGATCCCTAACACTACCAACACATCTGATCCCTAACACTACCAACACATCTGATCCCTACCAACACTA